CTTTCATTAATGATTGAACAAAAAAAAAATCATAATTTAATGTTTTTATGTATCTCGTAGCTAGTGCCCCTTTAAAGATTACTATAAATTCTCCAGTTTTCTTAATTTTGTAATCATTATATATCATCAAAAAATAAAGAGATGTGGTATTATTGTCAATGAGACAACTATCCACCAGAGTTCAAATGAAGTTGATATAAGCAATTATAGGCCACTGTATTGCTTTCAACAATGAGAAAATCCCATATTGTATAGTTGGCTTTAAAAGGCCATGACAAGAAAAATGTGAAACAATTCAAACCAGAAAACTAACAGCCTAATTTACCGGTATAACAAAAAAATTTATGAAAAATAAATATTAAAGACATGAACCAACGACAACCACAGAACTACAGGCTCCTGACTTGGGACAGGCAAATTAAGAATATGGCTGCATTAAACATGTTTGTAAGCACTCAACTCTCTCTAACCTGGGACAGTGGTGTATCAGCACAACATAAGAACAAACTGTAAATATCGGTTGCAAATTATTGGCTATAATCAAAGGATAGGTACAAGGGAAAAAAAAACTAACATAAAAACAATAGACACAAAGCACTGATATAAGAGCACTGCAGTTACTGAAAGCTAGTTCAAAGTCAATTACAACTTATAAAAAAATCATGTTCTCCCAGACATAAGTATGTCCAGTTTTTTTTTCGGGATTCAGAATTAATAATTGTAAAACTTTGACACCCAGAGAAATTTTCAATGATCCATGTAAATGAAGTCAAGGTCAGAAGAACCCTTTCAGAAGGACATGTACACTAACAATCATTCCATACACCTTAATAGTTGACCTATTACTTTTAGTATGTGACAAACAGACCTAACCATGAAAATTTAACATAAGACTATTGAATCATGAAAATGAAGTCAAGGTCAGATAAATCCTACCTGAAAATCAGTCAATCATACCACATCTTCTTATTTTTATACAAAACCTAACCAAAGTTAAAAAAGTATGAAATGTAGGGCATAGTGATTCATAATTGGCTGGATGTGACTTACTCCTCAAAATGCAAATTAACGTATGTTCAGATGAGCCTATTACTTATAATTACAAAGATATGAACTTATATTGGACCAACATAGGCCAGAAGAATCATACACTGTTTAACACCTAGATATGTCTTGCTTATATTACCTTATTTCAAACTTTCAAAACTTTTTGAAGCACAGAAGCTTGAATCAGCTCAATTCTATGACTTTTAATTTGTTGCAGGCAAATTGAAAATAATGTCAAGATCAGGTGACCATTGTCAGATGAAAATGTACACTTTACCACAATTCTAGAGATCTAACATTGATGGTACAAAGCAAAAAAGTTGATTTTTTTTATGAATATGACATTTTTCTTCCTTTTAGGGCAAATTACATTTAGTTGGTGGTAGATGATAAAATGATTCTCTATATTTTTGGCTAGTCCTTAACACTATGGTTTTATTCAATTGTAAAAAATGAAAACAACACTTTATAAATTCCATGCGTCTGAAGCGTAAACATGGATATTTTGGTGGGCTGTTATTCAATGCATTAACTTCTCTCCCCCACCCCCCCCCCCCCCCCCCCCATTCTGACCATCTTCGCTAGCCAAGGGTTACGATCCACTTCCCTCATCTCCACCCTTGGCGGATTGAGATCGAATTTCGGAGACACAAGGTAATGATTTTCATTGGTTGCAGTCGAAACACACTGCATCCAATCAAAAAGCGCCTATAACATGATCATGTGTAAATGTAGAAATATAGATTTTTACATTGATACCAGTGGATTATCGGATTTATCCAATCGAGATAGTTAAATTATCAATTTTAAAGTCCGAGCCTCGGCGAGGACTTTAAAATTCATAATTTAACTATCGAGATTGGATAAATCCGATAATCCACGAGTAACTATGTAAGAATCTGTTTCTCTAATGATTAATAAATAAATTTTCATTTTTTGTTAAACGAAAGTCCCCTTCCAGTGCCTTCCACATTCCCCGAAGTTGTCAATTTCATTAACACCTGTTGGCATATTTTGATACATCCAGTGTGCTGCTAAAGGTTATGACCCTTAAATTCATCCAATCATCTTCTGAGATCAACGGCAACCATACGTTGATTAAATTTTTTTATACAATAGGTTCGGAAAGGGATAAATTTCCTTAGAATTAGAGAAAGTGTATGTAAACAATTTCCACGTGCTTATTGTGCAACAAGTCTTTACATCCCTAAACATACGACTATATTTAATGACAATTTGAATGTTTTCAATCAACTAATAGAAGTTCCTGTGTATGTTTCTTGGACAAATGCATTAATATCAACGTATATTTTCGTTTCCTGCTTTACCAAGTGTGTAGAATCTAGACGCTACCGTGTTTTTACCTCCTAATTGAAGAGTTCAAGTGCTACCATTGGTCAAGAATAATGTATTAGGAATGGGTGTGACTTTAATCTACCGATAGATGGCGCAACATTGTTATCACAAATGTTGGCTTAATCTGCCAAGGGTGGAGAGAAGGGAAGTGGATCGTAACCCTTGGCTAGCGAAGATGCCATCTGACTTGATAGTGAAATAAGAAAAAATAACACTAAGCCAAAATTTACACATTTACAGTATGTCTTAAATCAAGAATCCTACCCCATCTTAGAAACCACTAGTAATGACATATTAAGCATCTTATACAAAATAACTACACTATGAATAGCCTTTTTTGTCTTTCTAATGTTAAACAAACTGCATTGAGAAATACCTCCGTACTTTAATGTATTTGAATTGCATCTAGTTAGATTTTTTTTTTTATCAAAATGTTTGTAATTTTACTTACTATAGCTATAGAATATGTACTTGTTAGCAATATAATGGGTAACAGAAAAAACAGTCCAATGTGATGCACATATTTTATCAGTCTAAGGGCAATAACCACAAAAAAGTTTTGTTTTTGTTCTTTTAACCTTTTTCATAGATATGATACATAAATGTATGCATGGGATTGCTATCAAACTTGTTTTCCATATAATTTCTATTTCCAAGGTGCATTACTCCTGTAATAATATTTGATGAGCACCTATCTAAATAGAAATGTAGTATTGAGAGAGCTTACAGTGCAATTTCCAATAGAATTTACATTTATAAAGGGATATAACTCCTGAAAAAAAATCAGGGGTGATTGTTAAACTTGTCCTCAACATTGCTGATATAAACTTTTGATGAAAATTTCATAATAATCTTATAAGAAATGTAAGCTTAAAAGTGCTTACAATGAAATTTCTATATAATTCATATTTTCAAGGGTCAGAATTCCTTATAAAATAATTTATCAGCACTAATTTTCAAACTCAACCAAGACATTGCTGATATAAAACATTGATAATAAAATGCTTTGCTGAGCGCAGCTGGATACGACCACAGAGGTCCAACCCTGAACAGTTGGGGCAAAAATGGACACAATATTCACGCTTGATACAGGTTTGAATTTGGATTGTAATTAAATATTTGACACATAATAGGTTTCTGACACCGAATAACTGTATTCAAAGAACTTAGAATTGGTTATGATTTGAATTTATTTTCAATTTTTTGCTTTTGTGCAATACACTATGCTGTTGTGAATTTCCAATGGTGTTTGCAACCATAATTACCAATTTAAGGTAGATAGGGTGTCTTCCTCCATCTTGGATTTTGAAAAACCAGAAAACAATTGGTCTAGATCTTTAATAAAATGTGCAAATTTTGAGAGTAGTAGGTAATACATGTGTAAGAATTTTGAATTCAAAATATAGAAAATGACATGTTTTATCATATTTATAGTTGTATTTTACAAAAAACAGAATACTTCTTGTTTGATTCAATTTTTTCCAACTTTACCATATAAGGGGAGGCAACTCAAATGTAAGGGCAGCTAATTCAGATAAAGTTACTTTTACAATAGAATGTGTTAGGAATTTACCTTTTTTATTATGTAGCAAGAAAACGGGTCCCGTGACCCCATTTTTTCTTTTTCTTATCTGAAAGCACAATATTAGAGCTATCTTCTCATACTTTATCTCAAAATTCTATGGTGTAGTTTTCGTTTTAAGGCAGAAAATTGGGTTTTCCATGCATAATCTATACAAAATCTGTCAATTTTGCACAACCTGTAGCGTGAAAATAAGTCCCGTGACCCATTCTTTTTATTATTTTTTTAAAAAGGCATGATATAAGCTACATTTTGGCAAATTATTAAAAAAATCTATGGATTATAATTTAGACACCCCATCTACCTTAAATACATCATAAAATTCTTAAAATAGAAAATGACATACATAATCATTGCTAAAATTAATATTCCTTTAATAGTAACTTCTAAGAATAAATTGACAGCTAATCACCTCAAGACAATACAAAATTTCTTTATACATAATTTAAAAGCAGTGTAAGGGAGGAAATCCAAACATACACAACATTGTACTTTAAATGTGTTTGGATTACCTCCCTTACACTGCTCCATTAACCAGGAAACCTTTGTTTTCCCCCCTTTTTTGCCCCTAATTCCTAAACGCTTTGAGCCATAACCCCCCAAAGTCAATCCTAACCATCCCTTTGTGGTATGGAAACTTGTGGTATAATTTCAGAGAGATTCATACACCGTTCCGAAAGTTATTGTCTGGAAACTAGAAAAATGCTTATTTGGGCCCTTTTTTGGCCCCTAATTCCTAAACTGTTAGGACCATAACCCCTAAAATCAATTCCAACCTTCCTTTTGTGGTTATAAACCTTGTGTTTAAATTTCATAGATTTCTATTTACTGATACTAAAGTTATTGTCTGGAAACCAAATGTCTTCGGACGATGACGACTTGATACCGTTATCTGGCAAGAATTGCACATGTTAGAGCACTTACAAGACAGGACAAATGGACAGATGGACACCAGGTATTTACATTGCAGTGGGATACAATGAATTAAGTAATACAAAAAATAAATCATACATACTTTCAACCTGAGAATTTCCATCACATGTCCATTTGAATTTTTAGTATTTTTGTCCCACAGTATATTCTGTATAGCTTTGTCAAACAACTGCTTATTCATACAACCTTTGCATTCTATAGTTAGTGTACCCACATCCTGAAACAGAATAAACTATTCACATTTTTGCTTTCAAATCATACTGAAACAATTTACTGTACTATGTTCTGATATACACTTTTAACATACACTAATGGAAATATATGAATAAAATGGGAAAGAGGAAATAATCAATGAACAAGATTGCTACGTCACAGTGAAATGTTCCCTGTGCTGTATAAATGAGGAATTAATTAGAGTGTCACAATGTGTCATTAAGGGAGGATATGCATATAAGCATTAATGCATGATACAAGTCTACTTTTTGCAAAGTTTTTCAGAAAGAATCCTTTACACACGATTTTTTATTGTATTGTATTTTAAATGATACTCAGCAGTTGCAGGCATTTTAAATTTCAGATCAGCTTTAAATCATGATACTAAATGTAAAACCATATTAATGAAAGATGTCTTTTATTTTAACCTTGATGTTATACTTTTTGTCTTGTTAGTCACATTTAAAGGTCATCATGAAAATTATATATTTACTTTAATACAGACACCAACAAGATGTGTCGGAACAACACGAAAGTTCCTGGTCGCAAATTTTCAAAGTCCAAAACCTAACATTTTTCAGCAAAAATCAGCGGAGCGGAACCAAAACTAAACTTGATCTGTAACTCATCATAGTAGACTAACATACTAAAAATCAGCTCGATGTGAAGGTGTTTAGAAAAAAAGTCTGTATAACTGTTATTTTCAAGAAATTTTTGAATTCCAAGGCCCGTAATTTCAACAAAAATCAGCAGAGCGGATCAAAATGTAAACTCATCATCAATCTGTAACTCATCATAGTAGACTCACATACTAAAAATCAGCTCAATATGTGATGGTGTTTAGAAAAAAAGTCTGTATAATTGTTCGTTGCATAATGACGGAATGACGGACATGGGTAAAACTAAATGGACCCGACCACTTTGTGGCGGGGCCATAAAAAAAAAGTTTTAGGTTGGGTGGTTTTCTTGATGGCCCTGTGCATTCACCAAGAAAGCTTGTTAAAAATGTTTTAATGCCTAACATCAGAGAATGAGAACACTAAGTGAAGGCAAAATCTCACTTGGTTTTCTGCCAGCATAGCTAATTTGTGACATCCATCTGTATAGCTACAACTAACATCTCAATAAAAATGATTTAAATAGTGGAGATAAAATCAAAGTGAAACCTTTAGTTATATACTGCTCTATTTGTATTTCATTAATGATAAAAAATAAATTAAAAAGACATAATTACCTCATCAATTTTATGTAAATTGTCTGTTGAATATCCTCTTGTTTTGAATAAATCTTCCAAACTGAAATTCATAGAGCAAAGTATGATCACTATATAAAAGTTCCATCAGTAATTATTCAATAGTTTATGAATTTATAGTTGAAGGTATCTATTACGCACATGATTTTTTTAAAGGGGAGATTTAATATTTTGCAAACTTGTATAGGTCCAATAAATCCTGTATTTTTTTAAACTCATTTTCGTTGGCAAATTGCTGGAATTTCCCATTTTAAGTCCAGCGAATAAATTGCAGGTTCTTGGGTTTTTAGCCCTTCTTTGTATAATCAGTGAACACCACATACACACTTGAAATTTATTTTATGGATTAAAACAATGTGAATATTTTCAGAAAGATATAATATAGCATACTTGAGTAATTCTAAGTCATGTTCCCAACATTGAATTATCATGAATTAGTCTCCACAACTCTGTAATGACATCCCCAAAATTGTCATTTAGCTTGTCTTCATGGAAAAAAACAATTGTAAATGTTCCTTTAAGCAAACTTTGATGTTTAAAATCAAAAGGAGCTTGATTTCATGGAACCAATGAATAAAATTTGTAAAGATTTCTTTAAAAGAACTTAAAATGACATGTGCTTATAGAACTACAGATTTTAAATATCAGGTGCTAGCTTGAGTAATTTTCAACTAACCTATGTTTACCTTTTCCATCATAAGCATTCAGATCTAGTATATTATTTAAATCAGTTTTTGACTGTGCTGTTTCTAAAAAGGTTGCATAACTATTTATATTTCTGAAATAAGAAAAAAAAGCATTATGAAAACTAACTTGTTACCAACAGACTTGTAGTACAGTAACTATACAAGAATGATTGATTGTTGCTGGCTTAATGTACAGTGGTTATTTTTTCATGTATTACTACATAAGAAGACTGTTGTCTAATATTTTCATAGTTTTTTACAGTGGTTATTTTTTCATGTATTACTACACAAGAAGACTGTAGTCTGATATTTTCATAGTTTTCTAAATGAATGTAAATAATAAAAAAAAATCAAATTGGAATGAATGGAAGAACAGGGTAAATCAGCATGACTTGCTGTTTGACAGTGGTAGGACAAAAAAAATGAGGTGTGACTGATTTATTCTTGTTTGTTGAACTTCCACCCGAACGATTTCATGCATGTCCCTGAGTTTAACAAAGTTTAATGAATAGATATAGAATGACAAACTGCAAGATTTCACTCTAATGCAAAGATGACAACTGGGTCTCAAAGACTGTTAGTAATACAAGACAAAGTTACCAACCTGATTCTAGATTTAAGCTGATGCAATTCTTCTTCTGTAACCAAATCTATTTTGTTAATTATTATCACATCGGACATTGCAATCTGTCTGGGCAAACAGAAATAATAACAACATTAATACAAAATATTCAATAAATATTGCGATTACATGTGTAAGATGGTATTTCTTGACTAAAATATACATTTAAAATTTTAAAAGTTTGTTAAAAATCCTGACCTTATACACCTATGCCTTCTTCATGAATAAAAAAATATATGTCCTTGGAACACTGTAAATATACGTTTAGTTCACCTAGTGGACTCTAAAACTAAAGGATTAAAAAGCAAAAAAGACTTTTAGTTTATATAGTATCTTATACATTATAACACTTAAAAGTACATTCAGTTTACCTAGTTGCCTCATTAATAGTGTTATCCATCTTCTTTTGATTTAGATACTGAAAGCATAAAATATGATATTGAAAAAAAAATTTCATATTAACAATAATTAAATATGTTTAATACTAGATCTTAACAAATAAATATAAAAGTGTGAGTGTTTCAAGGAAGACATGCTACGAGCCATCTCCATATAATATACCCACATTAATGGTTAAGTTCATGTTTAGGGATGAGAAATCCATAAAATCTCTACAATCAAACATTAAAATAGAAGGTGAACAACTACATGTTCTGTAGAAGAATCTGTGCAAGATTGGTGGACTTTTTCAAGGAGTTGTGGATCAACATAAAGTGTGACTTGGACGATAGAAGTGATCCCTATGTGTTGCTTTTGACAGCTGGAAGCTGCCAGGAGACGAAATATAATATTTATCTGAAGAAATAGAAATGAAATATAAAGGATGGAGGAGTTGCATTTCATTCTATAAATTTATCAAATTACACATTACTTAACCAAAGGCAGAGTTTCTACAATAAAGCCGAAGATAAATGTCACCAAACCCTAAAAAAAAACAGTCTAAATATTTTATTTGTCTTGTTTATTTTATTACTGTTTAGGCCTAAATTGTCAACATAAAATAAAAATTCTAGCAATTTTACAAAAAATTCCCTGTATTGTAATTTACAGTTTTAAAAAATATTTATCTATATTTTGTGCAATAAAGTTTTGTGTAAAATCTACAATTGTTCTTTACCTGTTCACAATATTTAGCATCAACAACTGTAATAATACCTGAAAAGAATAATGTAAATCAATCACCTACATTCTTTATCTTGCCAATAAAATTAATCAATTAAAGTATTTGAAAAACAAAAATTGCATATCATTAACAAGTAAAGCATTGGGATAGATAAAAAGTGAATTTTGAAAGGAACTAGACTAGCAAATGGATCTGAAAATGAAGCTCATAATATAACTAGTAGAAGAGCTCAATATATTATGGAACAAATATCAAGAATTTATGATCTATAGTTGATGAAAAATGTGCTAAAGACACATGGATAAAGACAAACTAAGATAATAACACATGCACAATAAATGAAAATCAATTAGTTCTTACTTCTTACTCAACTATGCCTTATTTATTTTGCTTTTAGAGTTAAAGATTTTTTTGAATAGTCAAATCATATAATATTTTAAACTTCAGCTTAATTTTTTTTTATTCCTAACAAAATCTGAGTACTAATAGTATACAGGGAAATAACTCTTGGTTTCCTATAAATAATGAAACTCCAGTTACAGCAGGTACATCACTAAAAATCCAATGGTTATTTCTTGCACTTGTAAGAGCCAAATTTTAATTATCTTTAAATTTCTGTTAATATTTAGGAGAGTATGTGTCCCCTTTAAAGAGGGTGGTAAAGGGGGGGTGCTTGCATGGAAAAAACGTGAAATAAGACATAATTTCACGTTGAACGTGAAATCATTTCTGTCATGAACGTTGCACGAAAAATAAAGACTTTGATGTGAACCTTTTGTGACTGAGTCACTGTCTTCTTGTGTAAATAAATTCTCTGTTTTACTTGTTATTCCCGATTTAGTATACACATTTATGATATAAATGGTTTACGGCTTTTCAAAAAGTATTTCTTGACGATCCCTGCCAAGTGTTTGAATTTTATTTGAAAAATACCGAGCACGCAAAATAAGCATTTGAAAATCATGATGCACGTAAAATTAAATAAGCAGAACACGTTGAACGAGGCACCTGTCTTGCACGACTGAACGTCAAATAAAAAAGTAAAAACACGTTGAACGTCAAATAAAAAACGGCGATCACGTTGCACGAAAATAACCCTTTACCACCCTCTTTAAACCACTAAATTATCAAAACTAATTGATTAATTCAATCATACAAACCATCTAGAAATAAATCACTGCATAACTCTTCGTCTAACCAAAATATAGAAGCTATAGGACCTGAAAAGGAAAGAGAAAATACAGTTATCAAAAAGAGAAAACAATCCAAACTTTACTCTCATATTCAAGCTAAGTATTTTTTTTTATCATACAATTACTATTCTAATCTACAAGAGAATGTTTTAACATCATTTATTCAGCTTCAATTAATTTTTCTTTAAGAATTATCTGCAGATTTTTTTTTAAAAGTTTTAAGCAAATGGAATACAAGTTACATTTTGCATGAAGTATAAAAGTGCTACTTATTTTTTATAAATATATATTAAAAAAGAAATCTGGGCAAGTACTGTTATGAAGGGCACTCAAGCAGCTATTTATGCATACATCAGTTATAGAGATTGGAAAACTTGTTCCCGAAAAAAGATTGAATGTCATACTTTTTTTTTCTTAAATTCAATTTAAAATGAATTTTCCAGCATATAAAATATTCTCATTATTACCTAAAAATAATTTAGATAAAGAAATGAAATAGTAGGTGCTATGACAATACCTGGATCAGCAAGGCCTGTTGTTTCTAATAAAACATAATCAAATTTTCCTTTCTTTGTCATTAAATTTTCTATAGCTTTGACTCCATTGTCTCTGTAAAAGAAAGATAAAAACACATTTTATAAGCACATCAATGTATACAAATAACTATTTTTTAACAGAATCTCCAATATAAATTATAAATGTCTGGTAGTTTCAGATGCATATATATCTTAAAAATAAATATACTACAGATCAGAGCACTTTTTAGTAAATAACATACATGTGGGTAGTGAATATGGACAATGATACTGGAAATTTAGACACATAGTTGGGGTTAACATGGTTTAAAAAAATCATATTAACAGGACTTATATCCATTTCAAATATATTTCTTCATCTCCAAGTTTTAAAGTACTGGAGTTCACGGCCAAAATGTCCTCATCTTAATATATTTCAAAATGGGTAAATAAAATAAACAAATAGAATTACTTAACAGAACAGCAAAGACATCCATTTCTAAGTTCTAACCATTCCTCGAACAGCTCTCCTTCCTGTCCAATAGACATGGACTTTTCTATAGAATCGCCTGAAATGTATAATTATAATTTATGTACATGCAAAATATAAACAGGTACCCACATAGGCTTTTTTAAATAAAGGTTGTGCTTCACAGTCCTCGAATTTTGAATACAAACCTTTGGATCTCAAGCTAACACCACACTTGAGATTAGAGATTTGTCAAAAATGTTATTAAAAAAATGAACACATACCAATAAGCAAGAAGTCCAGTTTTGACTACATTTATTCAGAGCTTTCTCTGGGCCTTATAGAATAACTCTATTGAGTCCTATGTTGTTTACCATGATATTATCTGAACAAATTTCAAAATAGTAAGTATTATAAACATGGAGCTATAAATTTAAGAAAACAGTGTTATTTCAAACCCAATGGTGCCTATTTGAAATGCTTGGATAGAACACTCACATTACTCAAATCTATTACAGCAAAATAGACCTAAATTGTTAATTATGTTGAAATAAAATTTAACAGTACCAATTTTTCTGCACTAGATGAGCGCATTTCGACAATATATGTCATTTGAGTGATGCTCGAGGCCAAAATATTTGAAAATCCAAAACTTATTAAAAAAATGAAGAACTTATAAACCAAAAAGAACAAACAAGTATAGCAAAAACAGGGTGCCACTACACTTGGAATTTTGTCTGTTATTACCAACATATGTCACATACTATTGTTGCTATATTATTTATTTCTTCTTGGAATCCAATGTACCACATTTTCTGTAGAAGATTTCTTTTACTGTAGTTTACATTAATTTGACTTAAATTTCAAAATATTTTTTTCTGTTCTAACCTATTCTTAAATGGCACCACATTACCTAACTGGATGAATTAAGAAATTTTAGGATAAATTTGTCAAACTAACCTTCACCAAATTCATTCATTATAACTGCTATCTTTTTCCCATGCTGCTCAGTAAGGACATAGTTCAATAAAGTTGTTTTCCCTGATCCTTAAAAAAGAAGAACATTTATTATTTCTAGAGATGAATATTAATTTTACATGACAATGTGTTTATACAAGGATTTTTGTGCATCATGGAACTGTATCTCTCTAATAACATAAACTACATCTATTAATTAGTCTAACCAAGAACCCATCATAGTTTATGATATACATTTCACAACTTATAGTAATAATGGTGGTCATATTTGATGGCAATTAGATTGAGCATCAACTGTAACACTGACAGAAATCCTATAAGTTAAATAGTAAGTTTTTCTTAATTTTATTTATTATTTTGTTTTGTCAAGTTTTCTATTTTTATAACAAGGGAATCACAAATTTATCTATAAATTCATCGAAGTTAAGTGCATGTTGCACTTTAGTCTTTACAGGATTATTGAATTGAATGTTTCGATACTTTTACTTAATATTCAATTTTTAAAAAATGGTTACCATTGTCAATGTTGTGATTGATTAGAATGTATATAATTTTTTATAAAGTATTACCTAGAAAGCCAGTAATAATTGTAATAGGTACTCTGTTGTTCTCTGCTGGTACAAGGTCAGGGATATCATCATCTTCACTATCAGACATGGTGTAATATCTAGTTATTGTAACAGAAACAAAATAACATAAAGATGATAAAATTTAAGCATAATAGGAATCATAACAAGATTTCAACATTTTACTAGTCTACAAATTGTAGTTTGAGTAATTCATGTTATTCCTATAAACAATACAGCGATACCAAAAATCTATAACTATCTATATATGTTATGTACAATGAACTAAAATATACACACAGACTCTTTGTTGATATAAAGTAACAATGAACAATAATATATACAAGTATCATACAATCTAACAGCCTGTTCTCCAAATGGGATGGTCTGTCACTACAAGACAGTGCAGGCTAGTACAACCTGTCCTCCGAGTGGGACAGTCTGTCACTACCAGACAGTGTGGGCTGGTACAGTCTGTCCTCCGAGTGGGACAGTCCGTCACTACCAGGCAGTGCGGGCTGGTGCAGTCTGTCCTCGGAATGGGACAGTCTGTTCTGCCAACTTGCTATATTAGACCAACTTATACCTTGTACATGTTGTCCTCACAATGTTATAGCTCTTATGTAACTTAAAACTAAGTAACATACTACTGCATATAAACTGGTCTTCTTTATAAGAACATTGACAGAACCCGGTGTATTCCTCACCCGCTTATATACTTCAGGGCGAATACAATATTTCCTGGATAGGGGTGTTTCCTAAATTTTCCCCTTACTGAACACAAGAATCCCTCACAAACACCCCTATAACCTTCGACCCATCCACTGACTTTCCTGCCAAACATCTAAATCTACACAACGCTTTCTCCACTGTATACCATGTATTACTACAATACAATCCTTCTTATTTGTAACCATAATGACTAATAAACATTACAACAATATGGTATTCAGAAAAGTTGCTAACCAAAAGTTGTTGCCTTTTATGTAATCATTTGCAATATTTTTCCCTTGATTCTAAAAAAAATTTTGCACAGTAAAATTATATCCTATTTGGGTATTATATCCCAAATGGGATTTTATAACCCATTACGAAGATAAATTCCTCAACCTGCTCGGTATCAGGTCGTTGCCGCCCCAAAGTCAATCTGTCCCAAGTCGATATATAATATTATATTTCTATATGAAATCTAAATATAAATTAGAAAAAATATTCAAATAAATGTCTCATCTTATGAAAATTTTCAAATATTCGTCAATATTTTTACTGTGGATCTATCATATTATTATAAAATTCATAAACATTTATCAATGACACTGAGATCATAAATATCTTTATTTTTATTCCTTGTTAATATTTTTATATTGGGGACAGATCGACTTTAAATATGGGGCCGGATCAACTTGGGACGGAACGACTTGGGGCCGGATCGACATGAAAGCAACCTGCTCAAGTCAACAAGTCAACTCTTTTTACAGTTTGTTTACAGTTTGTTCTTATGAGTTGCTGCACCACTTTCCCCGGTCAGGGCAAGGTTGAACGATCGAAAACACGTTAAACCCCGGAACATTCTGTATGTGCCTGTCCTAAGTTGTTGTTCAACTTGTTGTCTATATCATTTTGTTTTTCGCTTGTCTGTTTTGACTTTTGTACATAAATCGTGTTGTTTTACAGCTAGTATCAAGCATAATTGTATAAATAGCTTTTGGATTAACCGAATAGATTTTTAAATACTTATATATTTCTCAGACAAGGAAGCCTACATTTAAAGAAGGATATTCGATATGTTTATGTTTTTTTTTCTGTTCATCTAAGGGAGATAACTTAATTTACAAAATAATGTTAAGCACAATGTCGGACAAATAAAAAATCCGGAAAAAATAGGTATAAATATATTAGACATATTATGTAACTCTTGCTATGAGCTATGCACAAAGTCTACGAACGTTAATTATTTTTGTTTGTCCCTAATTAAATTTATTGTATCTTTTTATTGAAGTAGAATTTATGTCGGGTGGTGCACCTTTGAAAAAAGAAGGCGTTCTTGTAACAGACACTACCGAAAAAGCAAACATACTAAACCAACAATTTCAGTCAGTATTTACTAATGAACCATTGACCAATATTCCTGACAAAGGTCCAAGCCCATTCACAAAAATGCCAGAAATAAAAATCACATCACCAGGTTTCGAAAAATTATTACACCAAACTAAATCCCCACAAAACGGCTAGCGGTCCAGATAACATCAGTGGACGTGTATTAAAAGAACTAAAAATACAGATCGCACCAATCTTGACCATCATTTTTACTAAATCTCTACAAACAGGCAATACACTAAAAGACTGGAAACATGCAAACGTCGCAACTGCATTTAAAAAGGGCGAACGATACAAGGCTAAAAATTATAGACCAATTTCAATAACTTGTATTTGTTGTAAATTGATGGAGCACATTGTGACAAGTAACATCATGCATGGACTATCTAGAGGCAAATAACATCATTTACGACCTCCAACATAGTTTCCGTAAATCGAGATCATGCGAATCACAACTCATTCAATTTATAAAAGAACTTCATAACAACAATAACAAAAATATACAAACAGACCTCATTTATTATGGAATTTGGCAAAGCCTTCGATAAAGTACTCCACAAACTTTTACTCTACAAACTTAAATACTATGGCATAAAAGACTACAATCTAAAATGGATTCAGGTTTTTTTAACAGACCGTACACAAACAGTGGTTATAGAAGGAATAACATCAAACACAGTACCAGTTACATCATGTGTGCCACAAGGAACTGTCCTTGGACCTATACTTTTTTTAATATACATAAATGATTTTCCAGAATACCTTAATCACAGCAAATAACGACTCTTTGCTGATGATAGCATTATATACCGTGAAATAACATGTCAACAAGATTGCAAAAAACTACAAGCGGATCTAAATGCGGCCGCTAACATCCTGCATAACCATACCTTAGAACCAATAACATCAGCAAAATATGTTGGTGTAACCTTACAGTCAAATTTAAAATGGAACAATCACTACGACAACATCATATTAAATGCAAACAAATCTCTTGGATTTCTGAAGAGAAACCTAAAAATTTCAAACACCAACATCAAATCCCGTGCATACATATTCATAGTGAGACACTGAAACTTGAATACGCGTGTAGTATATGGGATCTACATACAACAGAATACAAAAACAAACTAGAAATGATACAGAGGCGTGCTGCCCGTTATGTATGTAACAAATATCATAACACCAGTAGTGTTACATCCATGATAAACCATCTTCAATGGCCCTCACTTGCTGAGCGCCGCCCCAAAACCAGACTGATAATGTTCTATAAAGTCATCAATGGACTCATAGCATTTCCATCGCTGGTCCTAATACCAACAGATACAAGAACAACAAATACTCACAACCAATCATTTCGACAAATATCCACCTCAAAAGAAAGTTACAAATGGTTATTTTTCCCACACACAATAATCCAATGGAACATGTTACCGTAAGTTGTGGTAGTATGTCAAACAATTGAAACCTTTAGAGAACAGTTGACACCAACCGTTCTCCACAACATAAAGTAACTCAATAAATATCAATGTTCATATTTTTAATCACTATATGAAGTTTTCTACAATTTCAACAAATTTTGTTGTGTAACTATTATTTGAATATTTTTTAAACATATACTCCGCGCATGCAACAGTTCATAATCTTCAATCATATGAAGCTGATACTGTATAGAAGAAGAAGAAGTGAAAAGAAGTGTAAGGCGACTTATGAATTGTGACAGTAACATTGATATCTTGGTGGCACGCGAGATGCTTTTAGATTTGAGTAAATGCCACAGTCAATAGACTTTTACAGTGTTGTACATAGATTAGTGCTAAAAATATTAACGTTATAACATTTGTGCCTTAAATGGACAGTCCAAATGTATATAGTAAGGTGATGGTACAGATCCCTGCATGTATAAAACTGAATTATATAGTTTTATGCTACTTGTGCTTTATGTTTTGAATTGAGCACCCTGCTGAGATAGAATCCCTAGCTTATAGTTGGATGTGACAATCTGCCTTTGCGATTTTAACTTGGTGTTGGGTACGCCAGGCAGTGTTGATATCCTTTATACCCAGTATTTTGAACAATTGAGTTATAGGCGTAATTATATTGGTATGTGCACCGAAATTTTTCACTGTAAATTGTTTCCTGCACATGTACACAGTTGCTTAACCGTATTACACTACAAAAGTAGTGGTACTCCAGATAGTGGAGGGAAGAATAAAGAAGAATGTGCTTTGATACTGCCAAAATTAGTATTCATTCATAGACCCCATAAGAAACGCAAGAAACCCTTCGTTCTCGATCCCAATCCTGTAAATATTTCGAGACACAGTCATGCGGTATATTTGTCTGGTTAAAAAAAAACAACAAGAAACAATCACAACCGCCTTGGTTACAGGATATGGATTTGTTTTCAATTCTTTGCACTGAATATTCAATTATCTATTTTGATTTTTAATACCTTGTTTTGGACGAATTTGAAAAATGTGATTTAATCTCTTTTTTTACTATCCCAACTCAAATTCAACTGTTATGGATAGTCAAATAATGGATTGTATCAATGTTAATGGTTGATTCACCCGAGAAGTATGTGTATATCAGAAGAAGAAGAAGTGAAAAGAAGTGTAAGGCGACTTATGAAAAGTACTTATCAATGAAAGATGTGTTTGTTGGCTTAGAATGAACAATAGAATGTAAGAGCCTATATTCTGCGTAACAAATTGTGACAGTAACATTGATATCTTGGTGGCACGCGAGATGCTTTTAGATTTTGAGTAAATACCACAGTGCATAGACTTTTACAGTGTTGTACATAGATTAGTGCTAAAATATTAACGTTATAACATCTGTACCTTAAAATTTATGGACAGTCCAAATGTATATAGTAAGGTGATGGTACGGATCCCTGCATGTATAAAACTGAATTATATAGTTTTATGCTACTTGTGATTCATGTTTTGAATTGAGCACCCTGCTGAGATAGAATCCCTAGCTTATAGTTGGATGTGACAATCTGCCTTTGCGATTTTAACTTGGTGTTGGGTACGCCAGGCAGTGTTGATATCCTTTATACCAGTATCTTGAACAATTGAGTTATAGGCGTAATTATACTGGTTTGTGCACCGAAATTTTTCACTGTAAATTGTTTCCTGCACATGTACACAGTTGCTTAACCGTATTACACTACAAAAGTAGTGGTACTCCAGATAGTGGAGGGAAGAATAAAGAAGAATGTGCTTCGATACTGCCAAAATTAGTATTCATTCATAGACACCATAAGAAATGCAAGAAACCCTTCGTTCTCGATCCCAATCCTGTAAATATTTCGAGACACAGTCATGCGGTATATTTGTCTGGTTTAAAAAAAAAACAACAAGAAACAACCACAACCGCCTTGGTTACAGGATATGGATTTGTTTTCAATTCTTTGCACTGAATATTCAATTATCTATTTTGGTTTTTAATACCTTGTTTTGGACGAATTTGCCAAATGTGATTTAATCTCTTATTTTACTATCCCAACTCAAATTCAACTGTTATGGATAGTCAAATAAGGAATGTATCAATGTTAATGATTCACCCGAGAAGTATGTGGTATACTGTGACTACTCAGTGTCGGACCAAGGAAAGGCCGCGTAGAGGGCGAACGACCCCCCTCCCCATTTTGATCTCAAATTAAAAAAAAGAACATGTTTCTCACGATTTATATAATTAATATTGAGCCTTAGTTCGTCCACAAAATGTATCCAAACCCTGTACACATTTGCCTGTTGGTACAACACTTTCAATCAATTTTGCTGTAATTTACTGAAGAGAATGTGCAAACACGAAATGTAAAGACATTGTAAACAAAAATGCTAAATCTAAATTTGGAAATTGATTAATAAATAAGATGAAAACAAAATTTATTGTGAGCTAATTTGTTCTCGTCCTGAACTTGCATGAGATATTTGCAACTGGACACTTTAGCAAACATCAATCAATCAATAAAGATTAGAAAATCGGGCAAACCGTGACAAAGAAAGAAGAAACCAACTGATGTTCGTTTATTTGCATCTACAAACTGACACTAGAATTTCCAGGACTGCTTCATTGATCATGTTCTGTCCGGACCCGTCTTTTAGGAGGAGTTTATTCTCATAGAAACTGCTTGCGCAGAACAGATGTAATTTGTTGATTGCTTATATAAAATGTGTATTTTTTAGTCACATTAACAGTTTGCTTTATTTTGAATTACACATTTAAGTACTAAGTTTTCAGATTAATGCAATATTTACGTATTTAAATGTTATCTTCCTTTCATGAATCACATGTACATTTAATGAAAAGGGTAAGTACTTTGTCTAACACTGCATACCTGGTGGACTTTCGCTATAGAAATATCGAGAAACATAAAAAAGCGTTGTCAACGTTATATGGTGTTGCAACTCTAGAATCTGAAAATAATTAAATCATGGCCGATCTCGAGATATCGACTTTTGGACGTATCATGCTCTCGGGACTATCAGTCATCGACCATTAACATTGTAACGGGGTAGTATAATTATATTTTAACGCACATATTTTGCTGTCTTCACGTTTGACCTTGATCAAGGGTATAGAAGTATAAACAAATGAAGAACAATGTAAAACCAAATATCTGATCAAATCTCCCTAGGGAGTTTGCAGTCGTTTTCGTTTAATTTCTAATTTCTATAAATAAAGAATTTAACAAAATATACATGATGAATTTTTACCAACGCTGAAACATAAGCTCCGTACTAAACAGGTGATATAATAACAGTAAACAGGCATTGGAATTGACTCAATTTTAGTAAATCAAGGTAAATGGTATCGAAATTGCTGCTTTATATGTCCATTTCTACATTTACTTCTGTCAAGATCCAAATATTTGGAACGCGAAAGACACATACATACAGAGATGTATGTAATCAAAGGGGGGCATAAAAAGAATGGTCAAAACCTTCTGATTTCCCTGAAGGAAGTGCACATCCAGTTATCGTAAGAGGAAACAAATCAGCGGATAAGGCAGCAAACTGTACGTATTATGTCAAATCAGAGCCAAAGCAGAAGCATTACTTTTGGAGGGGAGGGAAAGATACAAGAAGACAAAAAGCAACAATGATCGATATGATATCGACTCCAGCGTAGCAAATTAAAGTAAATATCTAGTATACCAATTTCGATGCACAATCTGGATCTACTTGGGAAAGTTTACAGTCAAAAACTTTCTAACCTAGGCTCCTTGATTACTAGTACAGATTCGGTCAGATTTTAATGCATAGATAAACAACATTTGACGTCTCATTCAATGTACGAGAATAAAAAAATACCTGTTAACTATAAAACTGTAATGTTTACATAAGGTGATTTCCTGCAGTCACAACGAAAAACAAAACTCGATAGTTTCATTAATTCGAAATTGTATATTGATAGAACATTTTTGTTTTAAACAGTAATTGATCTTGTGATGTATTCAAGGTAAACGTACAAGGTAATCTATATTCTGGTGGACTGAAACGTTCGTATGACAAAGACAAATATCTACCTGACGTTACATTGACCATATTATTGTCAATGATATGGTTATTAAATTGATCATATCACCTGAAATGATTGATTGAGGTACAATTCTACCATAATCATAAGATCTATGATGATAAAGGTACTGTAAGTATGATTTATTGTTTGTATGAATGATCTCAAGATTATTTTTAACGAGTAGTTTCTCCAGTGCTATTTAAAAGACTTAGTTTCCAACTTTCCGTTTTTTATATATTGATACTTGGTCAAGCGTAATTGGCATTAGAAGAAAAAATCAATCGAAAAGTTTAAAATGTATATATTGCGTGAAATAGGAATACACTTCATTTTATAATATACATTTATGCGTGAAAAAACATTCATATTTTATCTATTGCTTAACATCGGAATACACTTCCTTTGAAAATATATATTTATAAGTGATACATATGATTGTGGTAAACTGATGCCTTGGGCAAAGATTAAACATCTTGTATTGCGAATTTAACAAAATGACACAAACCAGGTACATGTACAGATCTAAAGGTGTATTGTTTTAATGTTTCAGTGCATAATCATCTACGCAATTATAAATAGTTGTTCACATGGTCAGAAAAAAATCTGATGATAAATGTTGATAAAAAAAAGGTTATTTTTCTCCATGACTTCATGTAGGTATGCTTATATGTAATATGACTAATATGTAATATTCTAAGAAGGATGGTTAATCAATAGACGTAATATCTATGTTGTTTACTATAATTATTGGTAAGGAAACCGTTAATTTATATATTTCCCCAAGTCGATGGTACGTCTGACTGCGTGTGTCGGTTGGGGTTAAGGAGGCGGGGGGTACAGCCGGCATGACGTCAGACCAATTTCAAAATGCTAGGTGTACAACAAAGGTTAACTAATCTAAATACCTTACAACTACCATACAACTGAGATAAAGAAATTAAGAACACATTAATAAACACCCAAATAACACATCTAGAAGACCTCTTTAATTTCTTCTTCTTTGTAGTGTTAAGAAAAAGTAATACATTTTTAGAAATATTATTTTTTACATGACAAAAACTTTACAGTTTGTATGTTAATAAACAACGTATTAAACATAAATTTATTTTGAAGTCTGTCAAGTGAAAGAAAAATCTCAGGACTGTAATTGTGTAATGGGATGCCAAGCTTGGGAAATTCGGTTCGACCAATTGAGGTAAGTTGCGCATTCGAACTTATAAACATATTGTACAATGGACATTTTGCACAATCACAAAATATTATGATTTGGATAACTACAGACAAAATGTATGATTTTAATCATGGCGATTCCAAAGCATTTGCTCTTGGAACGCCCTTGCCGGACTGAGTCCTCAAACAGAGGAGGAAAACAACGTTTTACAGGATTAACGTGCAAATAACGCATGTTTCTTGAGAAAAAAAATCTTCAATAGGTACGCTCGTACTGCCTGGAAGACAGAAAATTATATAAAACGTTGGACACCACAAATCAGAAATTTCAACAGAACATCAAAAATTGTCGATAAGGCAAATTTACCGGATGAAGTTGCAACTTAGCACAGTTACATAATTTTATGTCTTTTTACAAAAGGAGACAAAAAAAAGAACAACACTAAAGTGTATTCTCCAGGATCCGGGGCCTCATATGAACTATGTCTTTGTGAGAGATTACAAAACACACCTCTTTTCCTCGTATGTGGAGCAGGATCTGCTTACCATTCCGAAGCATCTGAGATCGCTCCCGATTTTCTGTGGGGTTAGTTTTGCTCAGTCTTTATATATATATCATATTATCAATGAAATTTCATGAAAATATTATTTTGAGAACATTCATTTATAATCAACATGCTTTGTCCTAAGAAATGTATATTAGTAAAAAATCATGATTATCATAATAATGAACAGGTACCTAGATAACATGGGTCATCCGTAGTACCTGTAATGCACGCGAATGAATTTTAAGAATTGCATGCATGTTCCTTGTATAACAATATGACGGACGTAATTATACAGAGTTATTTAACGTTTGAATTATATCACTAGTTTTGTTACATCATCAGGTTTCACTTCTTACCACCATAACTGGTAACGCTAAACTATTATGGTTAACATGGGACTAATACATGAAACTGGATGCATTTATTTTGAACAATAATTCATATAGAATAATTGTTTCAAAGACATTATTATATGTGCGTCTGTATTTTTAAGTACTAGTAATCATTATAAGCCTATATGCTTTTTAAAATTTAAATTAAGTTTCCAAGAGTTGTAGTATATCTCGACTTGATTCAATGATATTTATTTATCACCGAGATTACTCCCGTTGCTCTTATTTTATCGACGTAACACTACGGGGCCAATATATACACTAATCTCATGATTGTACATAATTAATAAAATTGAGAATTGAAATGGGGAATGTGTCAAAGAGACAACAACCCGACCATAGAGCAGACAACAGCCGAAGGCCACTAATGGGTCCTTCAGCTGGCCCCAAAACAAATATGTATACTAGTTCAGTAATAATGGACGTCATACTAAACTCCAAATTATACACAAGAAACTAAAATTAAAAATGATACAAGACTAACAAAGGCCAGAGGCTCCTGACTTGGGACAGGCGCAAAAATGCGGCGGGGTTAAACATGTTTTTTGAAATCTCAACCCTCCCCCTATACCTCTAGCCAATGTAGAAAAAACAAACGCACAACAGTACGCACAGTAAAATTCAGTTTAAGAGAAGTTCGAGTCCGATGTCAGAATAGGAAACAAAAGAAAATAAACAAAATGACAATAATACATAAATAACAACAGACTACTAGCAGTTACTGGCATGCCAGCTCCAGACCTCAATTAAACTGATTGAAAGATTATGTCTTCATCATATGAATATCAGGCACAATCCCTCCTGTTAGGGGTTTAGTATTATACCATCATAAAATATATGAGAAGAACATAACCCGTGTCATGCCAATATCTATTTATTAGCATATGATATACACAATACACAGAGTCCAATACACAGCTTGCTTATAATATCATTTTTTTATAGAAGAAATGTTTGATTAAATAAATACAATAATTTCAGGTAAACGTTAAGAAAGCAGAAGTAAAGTACTATCCCTTTCCTTATTTTGTTTTTGTCAAATGCTTGTAAGGATCAACATGGGCGAATCCAAAACATTTTCAGGGGGTGTCACCAAACGAACTTTCAAAATATTTCAATTTGTTTAGTTGATAGTTAGGTCATTATAGGTAGGAACAAAACAAATGGTAACACATGGTTTACAAAATTGATTCTAATCTTATTTTTCTTTAACCGCCTCGTGGTCTTTTGTAGCATGCTCCCTTCGAGTGCGGGAAGTTGTGGGTTCGAACCCCGGCCGGGCCAAACCAATTGATTCTAAAAGTGGAAAGATAAAAAAAAACTTTTCTATAGTCAAATAGTCTAGAAGTAAGTCAGTTTTGCGCCTTGCTCCAGCACCCTTGAAGTTTAGCAGACACTTAATTCCAATTTCTGAATTAAAGCAAACCAAAGCGATTTTTCCGATAGACTTTGAATTCTCGATATCGCAAATATTCAATAGATGTCTATGCATGTTAATCTTTTATTTTAGGTTGCTGACCCGCTGACTTTTGACTTATTATGTCCTTATTCATATTTTAAATATTGGTATTTAATATGATAGAAGGTTTGGCTCCTTCTTCCTCCCCTTACTAGCACGTAACAACTCCCCTTTTTAATAGTTCCTTGACCCACTACTGATACTGTCTGTTTTAAACACAATCACGTCTGATCGAAATGCATTCATCAAATGTATTATCCAGTTTTCAGACAGTGCAAAACAACTTTTTTTTGTTATCCCTTTCGACCCTCTATGCCCACAGAACCTAGACAATTGATTTATGTTAAATACTAGTATGTTAAAGTCTTAAATGTGACTGAACTGTTTGATATTTGACTTAAAAAAAGCAACTGCTAGTTATCTACATCTAGATAGAACATTTTTTGATTTATTCTCCAGCCATCAAATCTTGGGGTCATCCGAGTAAACAACTCGTCAGTACTTTGATTTATGTTGTGTTTTGTATGTGTTTTGGTTGTTTTTCGTTTTTTTGCCTTGGCGTTGTCAGTTTGTCACCAACTCATGAGTTTAAATATCCCTTTGGTATCTACCGCTTCACTTTTACCTATGTTCAAATCTCATAAATCGATTAAGAAGACAAATCAAGGTAACTAAAAAACCGAAATGTCAAATTTGGATCTATTGTAGTTATACGTATTTTCAATAATATCATATTCAAGTAAAGCTAAAACTTTTACTATTTTAGGTTAACGAATTAAATAAACCAGTTTCTACCAGTCCAGTAGAAAACAGAAGTTGCAGAGATGTCGTTTTCCTTCTTATATTTCTAATTGTTATTGGAGGGATGGTATGTATTTTATCTCAATCCACAACCGTATTTTAAATATCTTTATCCGAAAGCATCAAAGACGGGATCATATTATAAACTTTTAACTATAACAAGGATAGCAGAAACAAAATCAATGATATCTGCAACAGAAATAAAAACAATAACATTGCTAATCAATGAAAATAGTAACAACAACATTTAAAATTATAGTATTACAAAAGTTGTTATTTTTATTTTCAATTTGGACTCTGATACTATTTCTTGTGTTTTCTCGGGGGCGATATGGAAAAACAATCTAATTATCTATTTGGGAAGTATTTTCAATTTTAATCCTGTTTTAAATGTGTTGTTTATGGTGGGGGATGCTTTGTGGCATTGATTTATTAAGGATATAGTTGGTCGAGATAAAGAACAGCAATAACAGCGTTTTCCCCCTGCTTTTTGGTTTTGTTAAATGCGTGTGGGTATCTAGTGGCAACGATTAATACATCACCATCCCTCTTTTCAAATATATATATATATCGTACCCGGAGGTTGATACGGATTTACATTGGAAACCTTTGCTTGACAATGGGACTGTTATTGGATTCCTTTGAAGCAATACTTTATTTCTGCTTGTAGGGCTATTGTTCTTATGTTGGATTATATTATGGAGATCCATATAGGCTAGTTTATGGAGTGGATAGCTGGGGAAATGTTTGCAACAAGAAAAATATAAAAATTCTAGATGTACCACATTCAGGGAGAGATACACGTGGCAAAAGGTAAGAGTATACCGACTAATTATTTGAATAAAAATCAAACATACCGTATTTGCAGTGTTTGAAATTCATTGACTATGTGAGGCTTGAGGATAGGCAAAGGAATATCATAAATAATCTTGGCAAACTTTACAAGAGGAAATGGCAACCTTTAATCATAATTGGCAAAGATCAACCCAATGAAAGATATACTAATAGCATTCAGAAACAGACACTTCAAAGTGATATAGTATTCTAATTTTATACTTAGGATTTCAACCAATTTAATACATCGAGCACAATGTATGCATATTCTTGGTATAATCATTGGTTTAAAAAAGAATTCATACAAAATACCTGTTTTAATATTCTCTGAGGTTTGCTCTTAAGCAAATTGATCATATACCACATTTTAAGATTGAAACAATATTGTATACTGTTTTCAGTAAACTGTTCTTTTTCGATGAGACTGTACTGAGTAACTATGTAATTGGTCAAGCAATCACGTATAATAAGCCAAGCGTATGTGTGACGTCATGTCCTAATGTTGATATATCATCATATGAGATGTTGAAGAACCACACCCAGCTCACAGGGATAAATTATTGTGTGTATGACTATCCACTTATTGGGAATTCATCGGATGCTAGTAGTTGTACTGTGCTACCTATTTCCATACAGTAAGTAACATCCAAATCAAAAGTCAGATGGTCACGAACAATATAATAATGGACCCTGGTTGCCTTTAGTTGTCACAATTGGTAGTGGAAGAAAGCGACAACTTAGAAGTATCGCAGAACAAGTAATAAATTGACAAAGAGCATGATGAAAATGTCTATACTGTTAATTAATTTTAATTACCAGATAATATTATTAAATTTTAGTTTTGTTAGTCAATTCATGAAATGAAATTACATTTTAAAGTTGAAATCAATTACACATTATAGATGTTTTATCATTTCGATAAAAGGATGCAGTTTGTTATTATTATTATTATCTTTATCAATAGGCACTCCATGAAAGCATGATAATAACTCGTTATATCTATAATAGCCATTTTTAATAGGCTATTTGTTTTATTACATTTTATTACAATCATATTTTACAATTGGTTTTCAATCATTCCAGGAAATCCATACTTTTTAGATGCGTGCCTTCAACAGTTTCAGCTGCATACGATTTCTTAATTGGTTTTATTGACAATCTCTTAAATTCAATCGATGAAAATTTTACGCAAGTAAGTACATGGGTTTGTCACTATTTAAATGTCATGTCTAATTAACAATTTATAATATTTTTGTTCGTTTATTTATGTCTCTTAAGTTCTTGTTAAGTTGTTATTTGTTTTGAAGAATAAAATAGCTATAATAGTTTTGAACGTAAGTGACAACCAGCAAAAATTTCGGTTTCAGTTCTTCAATACACACTCATCCTAATACATAACAAAAGATGAGCGTTAAAAGGTAGAATCGTTTTCTACACTCCTAGGTCGGTTGGTTTACCATTTGAAATTGTGTTATATTTAGTCATACCAGACACATTTGAATATTCTAAAAAAAAAAATTAAAAAAAAAAATTAAATGTATATTTTCTTTCTCTTAAATTTTAGAAATGCGTTTCCGATATAGAGAAAACATGGCGAGAAATTTGTTATTTATGTGCTGTTGGATTAGGTGAGCAATAACATAAACGATACCAATTTTTCTGCACCAGATGCGCATTTCGACAATCAATGTCTCTTCAGTGATGCTCGAGGTCAAAATATTTGAAAATCCAAAGCTTATTAAAAAGATGAAGAGCTATAAGCCAAAAAGGACAAAAAAGTAAAGCCAAAGCCAGGCAGGGAATCAGAGCTTTGCATGAGGGAGATACATTCTTTAATTTTAAATAAGTTCAAACATTTTTTAATAAATTTCAATAACACTAAATCCGTATTTTCATGCCAGTACCGAAGTACTGACTACTGGGAAAATATAACACAGAAAGCACTCCAATTACAATATCCAAAAATATCCGATCCCATTATGTACCAATGTATTCTATTGGCACTTTTTGCGATAAAAAATGGGGATTTCGTAACCCTTCATTTACAATTTGTATAAAGGAGATACACTGGATAAGTGTTGGTTAGTTAAAAAGATACAATGAGCCCGATTGACGAATTGCATCCTTTTAAGGACTCAAAGCCTATCCGTTGTGTCTTTAAGTGGATTAAATCATTACAAAATCGCACGCTGTTTCAGTATTCTGTAATAAAGTTAACATTGAATGATTGTGAATCTGAAAATTATCCGTAATTTACAAAATAAGGCATCGAACAAATTATAAACAATATAGGTTAATGATCTTCTAGGAAGAAACATACTTCGTTCTTCATCGCGATTTATAATCATAATGATTTGCGAACATGCATTTTTATAAAATGTATAAAATACTTTGATTGAGTATTCCAACATAGGAAAGCATGCTCCTCCTTTCGTCCGTCCACTAATCCGTCCCCTATCATGTTTAAGTTCATGGTCACATTAACAAAAAACTTAGTACACATGTTCATTATGAAGTAAATTGTTTAATATATGTACCAAATTAGGGTTTCTATCTGGAAATGTACGTAGCAGTGCATATCAGGATAAAGGTTTGGTTTATGGTAGCTATGTGTTCACATCAACATCACATCGACATGATATTTAGTACACATGAAGGAAACTGTTAGCTGTATTTGGAAAAACTTTTAGGAATTTTTGGTCCTCAATGCTCTTCAACTTCGTACTTTATTTGGCCTTTTTAACTTTTTTTTGATTTGAGCGTCAATGATGAGTCTTTTGTAGACGAAACGCGCGTCTGGCGCAAATACAAATTTACATCCTGGTATCTATGATGAGTTTATTTAGATATATAATTATGCTAAATTAAGGCGACAGTAGTTTACGGATGTTCAAATCTTGTAAACCGATTAGAAAGAGACTAATCAACCTAAGGCAACACACAAACCCTTAGGGAATCGCATGAACTCCAAAAGGAGCGTGACCGGATGCGTCGACCGGGTTAACGTCTCCTGCTATGCGTGAATCACCCGCCATGCAAATTGACACTCAGTCAAACTGTCACAATTGGGAATAGGACACACTTTATAAAATAACTGATCAAACGATTTAACTGGTATTTAAAGATCTAAGACCGTGAACACATGTCGCCAGTGAGTTGAGACACCGACACATCGTATCCGCCAATCAATACGTGATGGTGACCGTAAAACTATTGTAGTGTCGATTTCAGTCATTTTTATAAGTCATGGTTTTGACCAAAATTTACGGTTGAATGAACATGGACATGTGAGTGGTAGTGGGGCATGGTGTCATACATATATCCTTAAACTACCAAAGAATTTGAGTTCAGCTGCAGTAAATATCTATGTTCCTTTATATGCAAATACCGTAAAGGGCTTTGTAACGTGTATCATGTACTGTTTTTTTTTTAATTTTCCAGGTGTTTCATTGGTTATAGTCCATTTAATGAGATTCATTGCAGGAGTTATCATTTGGTTGTCAATGTTTATACTTGGAGCAGGCAGTGTTGGAGGTGCTGGTCTTTGTTGGTAAGATCTATGAAGTGCATTTTACTTCCAGCTGGAACGGAATGATTCAAATGCATTATAAATTTGTTTTAATCGTTAAGTATAAAGTAAAATAACATAAATACCGAACTCCAAGGAAAATTCAAAACGGAAAGTCCTTTATCAGTCAAGTATGCGACAGTTGAAAGCCGTCTTGTCTTTCAGTTATTTGAAATACACTTTGACTCATTTATGTATAGCTAGGATTGTCTAGTGGAACCGACTCAACCGTAATTTTGGCAACTGATTTGATCGACAATCTCTTAAACCAATTGATGAAAGTTTTACACAAGTAAATAAATGGCTTTATCACAGAAACAGTGAAGTCTCATTCTTATATTGACTTACATCTAGAAATTGACAATGAGGGCCGATACTACCATTTTCACGAAAAGTAATGACGTTATTTCCCCCATTGTTACGCACGAACATTAATACGTTACAATAATTTTATTCACCGTAAATAGTTGATTAATGACTGGTATTATCTCGGGAACTTAACATTCATCAAAGAACAATGACAATGAACTATTGTAAATGAAAATATCACTTTGTAAATCTTGTCCTCCAAAGCGCTCATTTAAGTTAAGTATATTATTTTGACCAGTTTCAAATGTTTAAGTCAAATGCAGATGAACCTCGTCAGACGGCCATCAGCTAACCAATACATAAAGTCAAGTTCAGGTGAATCCTGTCTAACGGACATTAAACCTTACAATTAGTCTGAATTCCAAATACAGTTTGACATTTAACTCACAATAACTAAAATAATCACGCAATCAAAACCTGCATATGTATGCGGTTATTGAAACATGAAATTAAGGTCGAGGACAAAGAACATATATACCTAAAGTAAATGCCGGATTGCGTCTTTCCTGGGGTCGACATCCGTCATAACGAGAAATAATGAATTAGAAGGACATTCTAAAAAAAGCTAATGAAAATAAAACAAAGAATTTTTGTTCAGATTCGAATTGATTCTTTAGTATATCTCTAGTATATCCGTTGAAAATTTGTATCAATCTTGACTTTAACAACAATATGAACGACTGATTTATCTATGTATATAAAATTTGAAGAAAACATCTTCTGACTATAATTCTAGATAAATATTCAATTTCCATTCGATTTGATCATGTTTTGGATTATACCTTTAAAAATGAAACACTTTAGGGCAAATCGCCAATAAATCTTTGTACTTTTAACTTTTTGATAAAAAAACAGTCAATAAAAAGAAAACAAACCATTGAATAAAATATTTATATAAAAAATTTATAACAGGAAATTATTCTGACATTAAACCACAGAGAAACTATTGGCTGTCATATCAAAAAAGGAAGTTTGAGTTTGTTAAAATAATTATCATGTGTTAGACACCCTTCTTGAATTAATTAAAGAACAGACAAGTTTAATGTATAAACAATTGTTTTATGTAAGTTTGCATTAGACTTTTAGTACCCTTGACATTTTATTAATATACTTTTTTCAATGCGACAATGATTAACGAATTGAAATACTAAAAAAATATTGATATATTTGCAACCAATATAATTGTCAAAGGACGGAATTGGCAATGCATGAAAGTGTAATCGAAAAATGGACACTAAAATGCTACCCTTGTAAGAAATTCTCTGTCTTTTGCCTTCCTGTGGCTGCGACCCACTCACAAAATGTCTTTTGCCTTCCTGTGGCTGCGACCCATTCGCAAAATGTCTTTTGCCTTCCTGTGGCTGCGACCCACTCGCAAAATGTCTTTTGCCTTCCTGTGGCTGCGACCCACTCGCAAAATGTCTTTTGCCTTCCTGTGGCTGCGACCCAATCGCAAAAAAGGAATTTCCCTTTGTCATGTAAGATTATTTTACAATACTGATACCTATAATTAATATCTATTAGACAACCTGGTATCCTTTTTTATATAACACCAACTTGCGTAACCAATCATTATATTTCTTCTTAGTAACCAAAGTTATTTGTAACTAAAAAATGAAATTGAGATGATTTACTCAAACATTAACATAGAGGTCGGATGATACCACAATGTAATACCATGAAAATAATAATCAATAACACAGAACAATATAAAGATACTGTGGTAAGCAGACCTAACATATTTTCCCTAAAAAATCCCATATTCACTTTCAATTTATATGTAATTGCTGTAGGGACCAACCAAGGATGGAGTAGTTCATATAATATACTACAAGAGTACTTAGAAAGAAAACCAAATAGATGGTTAAGGTATCAATTTATAAAAGATAATTGACAATACTAGTACCAAAATGGACAGGGGAGTAAGGTGGGATGAAATTTTTTGTCATAACAAGACCATGTATCATCATAATCGCTATCTCAACCGTTGTTCAATTATTAAAGACTAAACAAATCAAGGTGATACTCATTGGAAAAATTCTGATTATTTCGAATCTAATGATATACAAGTGTGTTAATTTTTGAAAGGTTACCAAAACCGTTTAAAAAATAATTGCAAATACCCTTAAGGGGAATATGATATTTTGCGGTCAATGAACATTGTCCATGACACACCATTCTCTTCAAAATTCTGATTTAAACAATGAACAAAAAATGCACATCTAGATTGCATGAAATACACAGCTAGATATAAAAAAATGCACACTTACATTTAAAAACGACAAAGCCATATTTCAAAAATTTTCAAATAGATTTAGAATACAAGATTTCTTTTAGTAGTTTTGCATTTCAAATTCAAATCAATTTTTATTTAAATGTTTGATTATTTCTGTACTTTTAAAAAACCCGTTTAATTTTTTTACGTTAAGTCTCAACTTTTCATTTGCAAGTCCAATGAGTCCCAAATGTCAGAAATGAAAATCGGAAGAAATCCATATTTTGATTTAACAAGACATACATATTCGTTAGATGTGCAAAGTTAAGTCGCATGAACTCTAGCTCTGTATTTTACAAATTTTGTGGTGTTGTATATAAATCTAGTTATGTAGTTTTAATATATCAAAAAGGAGGAATATACCAAGGGAACATTCAAAACTCATTGGCGAAGAGAAACTGACAATTAACTAGCTACATCTATATAATCTACACGTAAAGATACAATATCTGACTTTGGTTTTTTTTCAAATATAGCTACTTATTTCTAAAATTTTGTTTTCTAAAAGAGTTTTTTAATGATTACATTTATTTGGTTCGAGGAGTTGATATGATTATCAGGGTATACATTCGGGGATATATACAGTTGTTTTGATTGATGGAAAATTATTGATGTATAAAGAGGAGAGGAAAAAAGGAATCAGTTTGGGGAATGGAGTATATATCATCAAATGTGTACTGTAATGAATGGTAAGAATGAAAAGTACGAGGGTAGGTTTTTGAATAATATTGAGAAAACGAATGATGATTTAGAGTAGGCCTTTTAGAAAAGGAGTACTTAAATAAGTCTTGTCAGGAGGACGAAAGACCATAACATTGTATAATGACGAAAAAAGGTTCTATAGTGATCATTATCATCGGGTTTGTACTAACATGGGCAACACGACGGGTGCAACATGTGGAGCAGGAACTGCTTACCCTTCCGGAGCACCTGAGATCACCCCCAGTTTTTGGTGGCGTTCGTGTTGCTCAGTCTTTATTTTGCTATGTTGTGTTTTGTGTACTGTTGATTTCTGTTGGTCTTTTTCTTTTTTAGCCATAGCGTTGTCAGTTTATTTTCGACCTTATCAGTTTGAATGTTCATTTGGTATCTTTCACCTCTCTTTTATCCTATTATGGGCCCAAAAACAACATAATACAGTCACCTAACGTTAAAACCTACAGATGATAGTACATTAAGCGACCTCAAAAGGTCACAAGATAAAACATGTCATTTATATTAATAGAAATAATGATAGAAAGAACAAGAAAAAGAACAATGGGAAACGGGCACTTATACTTTGAAATTGAATGCTTTACTAGGATTGTTCATGATTTGTTCGCACTAATTCCGTTTGAACTGTACTGAATGATGATTTAGTCTTGACTAACTTGATCTAATTTGACATTTGCGGAAACTAGGTCTATACCTAGGATTACACTTAGACTTACGATTAGAGTTGATGAAAACAAGGGGTCCTCTGAAAATAAAAAAAATAAGCCCAATTGAGATACATAGTCACATGAAATGATTTTTTTTTATCATGTAAATAAGTCTTTTCGACGACACACAAACTCAGACAGAAACTTATGGTCACAACAGATGTGAATTGCCACAAAGGCCCCATAACTTTGTGTTTTATTTTAATTCGATCTCCGAAGGCGTGTTCAACCTCTACTCTTTAGTGTGTAATATGTCTATTTAATTTTCTACATTTCCTCTGCATATTCTGGGCTTTATCTTATGTAAGGTGTCAATACTGGATATCTGTTTGGATATGTTTTGTCGCCTAGCAAAAGTTCAGTCGTAAAAAGTAATTCTTGTCCTATATTTCGCATCAATATATATTGCTGATGCCACAGAAATCCGCACTCAAAATATCATATCCTGTCTTCGTTCAATATTACAACATGAGTGTGAATGCAGTGACAATGTCTGTGTCCTTGGGAATACTGTTCCTTTTGTTCCGTTATCGGCCACAAACTCTCCGTCTATAGCTTTACTGCAAACGGAAATTTTGGCCAACCAAATTGTAAGTTCTGCCAATCATCCAAAGAAGGCCAATAAATAAAACGGTTATATGTTTCATGAAATAGGTATACATGATGTGTTTCATCTTTGATAGTCAAAACGGCAAACTATTTCATAAATCATATGATAAGACAGGTACGATCGTAACCATAACATAAAAGAAGAATTGTGTTTCCCGTTGAAAGCTTACGATCCCGACCCGTTCTCTGTCTGAAGAGACAATTTACATCGGCTAGAATTTAAAGTAGCGTTTCAGGAGTTTGACCGGAAAAGGAATATCGTTTGATTGCAAAACAAGTTAACACATTTCTCCCATTCCAAAAGTAAACATCATTGCCTATAATATTTCCCTGATTGTAAACGATTGGTTTGTCGGTGGTCAAGCTAGGACTACCATGGTTATAATCAGATGACGAATGACATGTGTACATTACATCTTATGGAGTCTACATCAAGGCTGGTAATGCTGCCATGGTTAACCTGTGTTCTTCATTTATAACGGGGAAAATAAAATAGATGCACGAAATACACTTATCATTTATTCATTTTTCCGTATTAATAGTTCTACTCGCTTTACAAAAGCGGGCGGTATATAGTAATTAGGAGTCGTACATCTTTTATACGATTACACTTTTGTATCCGGAAATGCTCCCTAACCGACTTCAATAGTGTGTGATTTCTTTTAACAAATACGTTTAAAGATACATGTTGTAATTAAATATCACGTTGGGGATTTTTTCAAAATATCAGCTTATAATCTATTCTTAATAAAATATAAAAATATCTCGTTTTAAATCATGTGTCATGTCTTTGATTAAGATTCGGATCCATTTAATATTCGTGTGCATTCAAATATCTCTACAAGCAAAGAGCATTTAAGTCAAAAATGATGTAATATAGTTTTATTTGCTAACTACTTTATTTCTAAAGAAATAAAAAAAAAATCATCGTTTAAAAAACTTGTTTGACGTGCATTAAATCCAAAATTGGGTTACCAGACATCCGTGTACTTTAAAAGACAACCTGAGTGCTTTAAGAATATTTAAACGAAGTTCTTGGGGGTCTATACTTAGAAATTCTTGATTTAATTGAAAAATATAATGCATGTACAAAAATTATGTTTAATGCAACTTAAGTTACTTTAAGTTTTTAAAACATGGAAACGATGCAAAGAGGCATTCAGAACCCATAAGTCGAAGACTCCACCATAATCAAAAGAAAAACGACGAAAATACTCCACAAAGAAACATAGAGTTCATTATGACTATCAAAAAATCAACTGATTTTGACTAAATATGGTATATGTTTTCTAATCATAACAGTAAAATTTAAATAATTGAGACCTCTGACAACTAAGGATAATTTGACAAACCACAATATAAATTGAATCAAGTTGTCGCTAATGATAGTCGAAAATTAACATTTGGTGCCTGACGGTAAAAGGCATTTAAACCATCTTGAAAGATTTCTAGGATCACTTATTACAACACGGGCCAGTATATGTAAAGACGAATATATATTTGCTTTATATTTTCATTGCATTGAAAGATAATTGTTGTTTTATTTTTCTAATTGATCTCGTTAGGCCGTCAATCAACAATTTATAGCAACAGAACTTATTGAAATGCATCAAACTGATAAGTTGTCACAGCAAGCTAAGATGGTCAGTTAGTGGAAACTGTGAAGAAAAAAATCTAGACAAAAACAAACAAAAATCATATTAAACGTAAAAATCACGAAGAGCCGCTGGTCTGACAAGTGTTTCAAAATGGTCCGAGTTGTCTTTCAAACTTGTCCTAGCTGTCTATAAAAGTGGTCCGAGTTGTCTTTAAATTGGCCTGAGTTGCTTTATTCCGATTTGCCTTGGGTCCAAGTTGTCCCGAGTCCACCTCAAGCTGCCAAATGACATTTTGTATCGATATTTCTTTGAAATACCGTTGTTCAACTATAGAAAAACATCATAGGAGTTAGTCTTTGTTTTGAACCGACGGTTTATATTTACACTTTGAAACGACCCAAGATTTAAATGCTACATGTAAGTGTAATTGTTATCATAATCATAGGTGTATATCAAATTTCCGCAAATGTCTATTACTAGCAAACATTAGACTTTTTGTAATTTTGTAAGTTGTTTTTTGTTTTTGGTGTAAATATAATGAGTCAAGCCCTTTCCAACTTTTTTAAGCTATAATTGTTGTGTTATAACACAATTGCACAATTGTCTCGGATTAATGGGAGAGCTGAACACTCACAAACATGTTAAACCTTTCCACAGGTTGGAAGAATATAATGTATTTATCCGCCTCATTTTTAGACTTATACCTCGAATTTGACATAAACGGTCATCTCAGTACCTGAATCTATGACAAACGAGACGATTTTAATTTTGAAATTATCAATTTCCCCCACCTTAGTTACAATATACCAACTTCACCTGCATATGGGATATACATTTCCCAACTCATTCGGTATTCAAGAGCTTGCAGCTGCTACCCAGACTTTATAAAACGTCACCAGTGTCTGAGCAGATAGTTGATGAACCAGGCTTATGTCAAAGAACGTCTCTTCCTTTTTCTAAAAAAGTTCATCGGAAGATACAAAGACCTTGTTGATAAATATTCCATATCAACTTCACAAATAATACATGATGGTCTTGAAGTTTAGATTCTAGGTACTGACATTGTTTATCATCTTAATTACGTGTTAACGTGTTCTTTTATTTTGTCTTTGTAAATTATTAACCTTTACTATTTAGTCCATTTTTGGTAATATCCTTTTGGCGTGGCTTGGTACTTATGCATCCCGCCAATGTGTTGTGGTGCTGTGGTCATTTTTTGTATTCTTGTCTTTCATTTTTGCTTATGTGCTATGTCTATATGCCATTTTGTTTTTCTTTGTTTACACATTTGTTTGTTTTTATAGTGATAAAGATTAAAACACAATGTTGACTGCTGTACCTATATTTTTGACATTTTTACCTATTATGTCTGATTGTTTTGTTCACACATTGTTCTCAATATAATGGAATTGTATGCGACTGTCATACAAGTGAGATGTTTAGCTAGCTATAAAACCAGGTTAATCCACCATTTTCTAATTAAGGAAATGTCTGTACCAAGTCAGGAATATGACAGTTGTTTTCCATTCGTTTGATGTGTTTGAGCTTTTAATTTTGCCATTTTATAAGGGACTTTCCTATTTGAATTTTCCTTGGAGTTTGGTATTTTTGTTATTTTACTTTTTATGAACAAGTTACCAATAAAATCATCATAGATACCAGGATTTAATTTTGTATTTACGCAAGACGCGCGTTTCGTCTACAAAAGACTCATCAGTGACGCTCGAATCCAAACAAGTTAAAAAAAGCCAAACAAAGCACGAAGTTGAAGAGCATTGAGGACCAAAATTCCTAAAAGTTTAGTATATACAATAATTTGTCATAACTGTAATTTGTTAAGATTTGGACACATTTGAAGCAATAGAATTACCTAGAAAGACATTTTTAACCAAAACCAAAATTTCTATCGGAAATAAAGCTATGTAATGTATTTTGTATAGATAGAAATTATATTTTACAATATTTATTTTTTTAATGACATGAAAAAAGCAATAATGTAGCCATGATTTTTTTTTATCTTTATAGATATTGAGAAATTGTTGCGAAATATTTAAGATGTTTTTTTCATGTTCTTCGATAATCGAAAATAACAAGTTTTCATCAATCGTCGGATTTTGACATCGTGGATGAAAAAAACAGGTTGAAATTGGTCACTACTCTTGAAAGAAGGAACACATAATTAGGAATTATTTGCCGAGGAGATTCCTAGTTAGTAAGAAACCTCTATGTCGTTCGAATACAATCCTTGACCATCGTGGTTTTACGTGTATTAACTGTATAAGCACCCATACCTTGTATTGGCTGTGTTTCTTCAACAGAAAAAAAGATTACATGCTTGTTATTTTTCTTAAGTTTCAATAAAAAAGAACGTTTAAAATATAACCTAAGGTAGGGTGCAACAAGAGCATTGTCTGGGTAAACCGTTCACTTAAATTTGAACGTTTTATTTTAGATTTCCATCTTCGTCTTCTTAAATATTGAGATAACGCAAAAACCAAATTATAACCTCGGTATCTTTCATGAGTTTTTACAATCTCTGGGTCGATGTCACTGCTGGTGGACGTTTCGTCACAAGCCCGGTAGTCAGCACTTTTGTGTTGACATCAAATTCATTTAAAATATGTTTTACTGTTCATAAATTGTTGAATGTACCAAACAATAAGGATGTTATACCTCCAGGCATAAATTGATTAAGCCGTATTTGGCAACATTTTTCATAATTCCGATTTTTAATCCTCTTTTGTATTTGAGTTGGAATAACTTTATTGAGTTGAGCTCCACTAATAAGTCTGATGAAAACTGAACGCACGTCTTGCGATCAAATAATCCTGGTATCTCAGCGGAGTTTTTACAACCACTCATTCATACTCATAATTTTTTGATGTTTCAATTTTAAGGCCTTTCGAATAATTTCCCTTTCTGATAAACCAGTTTTAAAACTTAAGTTTGAAAAAAGAAAAAAGGTAAAAAATCAATCTGGATTTTATTTCCAAAAAGGAATCTAGATTTTATATACAAAAACAAATCTGGATCTATATACATATAATTATATTAAAAACTACATTGATACACGTGATTTAATGTCATTTTAGTGCCTGCAATTATGTTTCAATGAAACAGTTTGCATCTAGATTGTATATTCGTTCATTTTGTTATCAGATAGTTCTATAGACGGCAGAGCTTTTTTGAAAGTAGTATTTGTCTCGGATGTGGAAAGTCCACCACTTGTTGAGGATTCATTTCCATCCTTTCTTGATTTTTTACATCTTCCAAAACAAATATCAAGATGAGCAATTCTATTAAAAGCGGCTTCGAACTTCGTATTGGTAATATAATAAACAAGCCAGTTTATGGAAGGATGAAGGTGTGCCCATACTGTTATGTATACATGTACTTCATGGGGAAACGAATCATCTGTGTCTAGTACAATGAGTAGCGCATAAGGTATCCAACATGCAGCAAAAATTACATATATGATGCATAATGTTTTAGCAAGTCCAATCGAGTATGACGACGTACGCCTTGAACTTGCAGTTTTTGTTTTCTTTCGGGATCTGTGAACTTTCAAAAATATACTAAGATATGAAAATCCCACAACAATAAGTGGAATCCAAACTAAAGTTACAGAAAATACAACTGTGTATGGATATGTTTCCATTCGATCCCAAATGCATTCAAGGCTTTTTCTATCGAATGAATGATCTCCAATTCCGGCAAAGTTCAATAGAACGAGCAACAGACCAACCGAATAAAGACAGCAGCACATTATTATGCATGTCTTCTTTTTGAAGATTTTAAAGTAGAATTTATTTTGACAGATATATATATACCTATTGAAACTAAGGAGGGCGATGCTTCCTAATGAATTAATGCATGCTATCGTACATCCAAAAGCTATTATCTGACAAAATCCTGGTAGTTTATCAAAGAATTCTTCTCCCTCAAGTTTTGCTGAAAAATACAAGACTTAAAGTTAGAATTTTGATTATAAAGTATAAATAAACAGTTTTGTGATTTTTGAAGTGAATTACGATAAATAAAATATATATTCTTACCAACAATACTAAGGGGATCTGCTAGTGTGGTGACATACATATCGGATATGGCAAGGTTTGCCATGAAAATACATTCCAATTTGTGCAACTTTTCTGTTGTGAAAATAGTAATTAGAATAAGAACATTTCCAAATGTTCCAAACAAAGCGGCTAAAATCAGTGTTATCAAAATAGGTATTGCAACTCCTGGTGTCTCGTTAAGAAATTGATATCTACCAAACGTATTGTAAGAATTCGTCAAATTTCCTAACGTCGAATTCATAATTTTTCAGATATATACTGCATACAACTTAAATATAAATTAACACTATAAATCAAGAGTATAGAATGAACTAGCAAGGAAGTTATTCTTTTCATATACAAATCAAATGGCAGGCAAAAATTTCCGTATTCTTGTTACTTACGAGTATTTGTTGGGAAAACCATACTTATAAAATTAATAAAAAGCAGACTTTTAATACGATTCGGCTAAAAAAAAAATGATGTTTACAACATTCTGTTTTTTTTTTCACATCTTACAAAATTCATAGAATGCAATGGGTGTTGAATAGAATATGTTATATCATGCTTATGCATTTTAAGGAAACCAGACTTATCAACACTATATATGTGGGTTCCGTTATTTACAAAGATACCAATTTTTGTGGATTGAGGAAAAATTGTTTTTTCGTTGATAGTGAATTTCGTGGTTTCGTAAAAATCTGCATGCAAGCCTCTGAACAATGTGTACTTCGTCGAACATCAAAATTCGTGGTTTACCTTAACCCACGAAATACATGAAAATTGGTATCCCACGGATAATAATGAATCCACAATAAATTGAATTCCTACTTATCAAGCAAAATGACTTTACATATGTCATGCAGGTAAAAAGACTCGATTAACCATTTGTAAAATATGCTAAAAAAATATCATTCAGTTCTGTATTTGTAAGAAACACATATATATTTTATAGTTGCACATATTCTTTTTTTTTTACGTTATACATAGTTAATGTCTGAACTCTCAGAATTGAATAGTCATTTTTGTTATAACTTTTTCAAACGAAGGTTGTCTTTGTTAACTTTTAGATCGTATCTCACTATCATTTCATTATTATTGTACTAGTATTATTATCATTAGTATGATTATTATTTGTATTATTATCTAATGTACTGAGGATGTCTTAATAAATGTTTAAGAATTTCCCCTAAATCATTTTAAAAGAGAGGCGGAAATACCAAAGGGATATTCAAACTCAAAAGTCGAAAACAAACTGACAATGCCATGGCAAAAAAATAAACAAAAAAACGAAAAACGACCAAGAGACAAACAGGATCCTACAAAACACATAATGAAGACTGGGCCACACGATCCCCACCAGAACCGGGATTATGGTAGATAGTTAGTAGATCAACAAATGAAAATGTTTTCTAAAATTTACTTGAAGAGAACTACATATTTACATGTATATTCAAATTTGAATAAAAAATAAAGCACTGTATTCATTTTACAGAAATATCGAGTTTAAAATTTTAGTTTATAAAGGGAAAAATCATCCGTTTTTGGTGAATAAAAACTAAAATTATCCATCGAAATTTACTTTTTTAGGGGGAAGGGGGACTATAATTAGAAAGGTACAAAATGCAGATCAGGAACAGCATACCCTCCCGGAGCACATGGAATCACCCTTGGTCTTTGTTGGGCTTCGTGTTGCATCGTGCTTAGTTTTGGATGTAGTGTTCTTTTAGACAGGTGTTTGTCTTTTCGTTTTATGTCGTTTTTTTTGCCATGGTTTTATCAGTTTCCCTTCGTCTTATGAATTTTAATTGTCCCTTTGGTATCTTATGTGGATATCCCTTCCCCTATTTTATTCTTCTTTACAAATTAGTGTTATGTTAAACACATTTTTTAAAGATTCTTTGAATCATGAAGAAGTAAATCACAGAATCATTAAGAAAAATATCACATGTTTTAAACACATGCATATAGTTTTGTCTTTTTGTCTTGCACAATTTATTATACACTAGAAAGTAAACTGCATAAACGCGTGTATGAATGAGGGTTTTGAATGGGGTCTCCAAGGGAACTGAATACTTTTATTTCATAGTTATGATTTCACATCGAATTATCTTGTATATTGCAGTTCTTGTATTAATATTTTCAGGTATTATTACTACCGTTTCAGAGAGGACTCAACATCAACGAAATGGTTAATTGGCTCGATATGTGGAACAACTATTATGGTAAAAAACACTAACAAAAAAACAAGAAAAAAAAAAAAAAACAAACAAAAAACACGGGGCAATATGTCAATTGTATTGAGAACTTGATGGGAGTAATTCCGCAGTTAGCGAACAAAATATGAATATATTTCAAAGGTTTTCAAGGAAAAATTACTTCTCCGTCATTTGGTCTCTGGTGTAGAACTGTCTCATTGGCAATCATACGACATCTTCTAATTTTTATATACAAGAGGTACTGGATTGTTTATTAAAAAAGGGAATACCAAAAAGGGAATATATTTACGTATATCACAAGACGGGTAATGAAATTCCTAAATGAAAATAAAACCTTTATAATTTCGTGATTGATAAATGAAATGTGTACCCGACTTAATAATATAACTTTATAGTATTTGAATCAAATTAACATATTTGAATAGTCAAGAGAAACATGCAAACTAGATATTCACTATGAATAATTCGTCTATGTTAAAATTAACCGATTGTGATTTTGTATATTGTTGTTTCCCATTTGATCGTTTTTCGTTTTTGCAATGGCATTGTCAGTTTGTCTCCGACTAATAAGTTGGAATGTTCCTTTGGCATCTTTCATCTGTGTTTGTGATGCATGCATAACAAAAGACGTTTAACCTGTTGTCGCACCCGGTCTCGAAGAGACTCTTTTGAATTCATGCGATTCCCTAAGTGTTTGTTCGTTATCTTGATTTGAACATCGGTTAACTTCGGTCGCCTTAAGTTTATAGCATCTATTATACTTGCAAAAAATAAAATTACAACAAACCTGCTACTTACTTATTCTATTTATGAAAATCATGATCATGACTGGCTTAAACAAGAAAAAAGTTTAAAACAATGAGGAGATTTGATTTCGATTATAAATAATATCCCATTTGCATATGAAAGACTAAATAGATGTGGCACGATTGTGACAACCTTCCACAGCAGACCAAAGGACGTGTATTTAAGAAACTATGTATCAATATTATAGCAGTACATTCATATTTAATATAAAATATCTTTCACTTTGAACTTGTGTTTTTTTACGATTTCGATGATTGATTATGTCCGTTTAGGATCTCGTTAAGAGTTAAATTTTTAAAAACATAACTTTTCAAATTTCTTTTTTCTTCAAAAATTACCATTTGCAAGTCAAAATTGTCTAGAATCCGTGTGATATACAGCTAGCATGTTCAAATTTTTTTATTTCAGATAATAATTTTGCTGATATTGCTGATAATGAGAAAAAGAATAGGCTTGGTGAGTATCATTAATTGTTGTCTAGCAATAACACGAATCCCCAGCCTTATTATACAAATATGTTCTGTACATAACGAGTTTTGTGCTTACCACAAATAGTTTAAACAAAATATAAAACAGCATTTTAAGTATGAGTTTCTACCCCAGTCAAATATTGTTTTGGTTTTATTTGGCACAACATTTTAAAATTTTTGATTTTTAGTACTCAATTTTGTTTTTAATGTTGCCTCTTAATAATATTGATTCGAGCGTCTTAGGTAGACAAAACGTGCGTCTGTCTTTCCATATTGTAAGCCTGGTATCTTTGATGTGTTTTTTAGATCACAAAAAATCCATTTGGTCTTGATTTATATGTATTTCAAAATGTCTTGTGTATAATTGTTTGTAAAGCAAATATAGCATTCACCGTGTCTTAATGCGTACTCAGAACAAATATGTATATTGTTTATGATTTTTATTAAACGTGATCATCGTGGATCACAGAATTTATTTTTTCACTAGTTTTAATGTAATTACAATGTAACAGTAATGCTTAGAACTGTTATAAATTGTAAAACGTTTTTCTTAAAAAAATATTTTCTCAAGAGACATTTTGGACTTAACTTGACATTCCATGTTATGATAAATGCAAATAATTGAGATATGGTGATAATGTCAAAACGGCAATCCAAAACACACCAATAGTGTGAGCTTTTAGCGTAAGCATATAATTTGTCGACATAAGAAAGAGAGGAGAATACATAAAAATAATCTGGAACAGAATTAGGCTCCCTTTCTTTAAAACCTTAATTTTGTATATGAGAATTAGTTTACTGAACAATTGTAAAAAAAGAGATGGAACATTCAAAGGAGACAATAAAACTCGTAAGTCGAGAGAATTCTATGCGACTGTCATGCAAGTGATAGGTTTAGCTAGCTATAAAATCAGGTTTAATCCACCATTTTCTACATAAGGAAATGCCTGTAACAAGTCAGGAATGTGACAGTTGTTTTCCATTCGTTTGATATGTTTGAGCTTTTGATTTTGCCATTTAATAAGGAACTTTCCTTTTTGAATTTCCATGGAGTTCGGTATTTTTGATATTTTACTTTTTACAACGCTATAGCAAACAATGAAAGAAAAGGAAAAGACAAAGAAGTTTACAAAATATTTATCAGAAAACAAAAAACTGAGCAACACTAACCCCACAAAAAACAGAAAAGGGTAAGCAGAACATGCTCCACTACTGGCGCATATGATGTTACTCTTTAGGGGAACACATTCAGTGATGAGTCTAATTCGGTGATGTCACAATCGAAGAAAAAAAATTTTGTCTAGTCAATATTTTTTTTTTTTTTTTTTATAATTTTTTTTATTATTTTCAAGAATTACAACAAATACAACACATCAAACATACATACAGTATTATTAGCAATACACATGAATATCTATTTATTTATAACAATAAACATTTTCAAAATTCATTTTTCTAGTAAATTAACAACTTATTTTTTATAATATACTGATGAACATTCAATAATGTGAAAACAATTTTTTTATTGTTACAGGTCGTAGAACTATTCAAAGAAGCTGGAAAAGCAATAAAAGATATGCCATTGCTAATTTTCCAACCTATATGGGTATTATTTTATTTTATCTTTTTTATTCAGATTTGGGAAGAATCAGAAAACATGAACATGATATCATGTAATAATGTTTCTTTTCATATTAAGCATTAGCGTGAACGTTAGTGTTCACTGAAAAAAATTGCAAGACATGATGTAGATATCCAAACTCTGTTCACAAAACATAACAAGAGACATTCGAAAATCCTGGTTTAGGCTGTATATTGAACTTTAGTTGTATGCATCTTCGTCTTATGCAATTGGTCACTGGTAAATAGTTGTCTCACTGACGATGATATACAATCGTCTTATTTCTATTAGATATTCAAAATATCGTTTGAACATTAAATGTTGGAGATGTATAAAATTCTAAAAAAAAGTACTTAACACAAATATCCAAAAATTGACGTTACATGACCGAGATCTGCAAAATTCCTTACATAGAATAGATAACCAAGACATCCAAATAACTTTAATGCAATACAAATTCGCAACATCAAACAACTATAAACTGGTGCACAGTTTGCACAAAAATGTGTTATTTATGATTACCAGATATCACAGACAACTTATGATTTTGGGATAAAGAACTGAATTACACACAAGGAATGATATCAGATTCTGTGGAAAATTAAACTATCTAGTAATTTATTGCATCCTATAATTAGCATTTCTTAAAGAGCTACATATAACTTTTACCACAATACATGGTATATAAAATAAGGAGATGTGGTATGATTGCCAATGAGACAAATATCTACCAGAGAACAAATGACGTAGATGTAAGCATCTATAGGTTACCGCCCCAAATATGACAGACTGAAACCAACAACAACCACTTGATTACAAGGTCCGGACTAGGGACATGCACATATATTATGTATAACTTGTCCTGTTTAGAATGACAAGTTATTGAATGGGAATCTTCAGCATCATTTGGATAAAAGACAAATTAAGTGATGCACAATAAAATTAAACATTTGTATTCTTTAAAAGTATTTTTATCTGGAGATGCAGCAAGAATACAGATGATAGCATTGGTACGAAAATTCTTTTAAAGTTTACTGAACTCGACTCGTCGGTTACAGGAAAGTTATGATTGAAATGTTGGTTGTTTTATTAATTGTTGTTTGCTTAACGTCAAGTGGAATTTTATGCATATTCAGAACAATGATTTTTTTTTCTAAACTTTGGATAGACGAATAGGTTAACAAACAAACATTACTTACAATATAATTTTCTGTCTTAAGCAGAGCATATAGAAAATACAGTCACATACACATATTATATCTTAAGAATCACATCAAATGCACGTTCATTGGATTATTATTTTTAAATATGATAATCATTGAAAAATCCTTTTGGATGAATTCAAACAATTAACAATACAAACATAAGATCAATTGGAAATATTGATAAAAAATATAATGTGTGCAAATTTCCTTCTATTTTTTTTTTGCAGACTTTTGTTTGCTTAGTCCTTGAGTTGATTTGTTTGGTATTTTTCTTCAGCTACATACTGACCGCCGGTAAGTGTTTTGACAAAATACGAGTTATCATCGGACTTGTATTCAAAAATGTTTGCAGTCACGTATACAGCTCTAGAGACCTGACTAAGTTTCTCTTTTAATCACATGTTTTTAGCAAATTTTCAGACATAATGCAATTCCTTTCGATCTTTTGAATTTTTTTTTTTGATAGCTGATTCCTCATATTTATTTCAAATTATGTCTTTTAGTTTTCTTCCTTTCACACAATAATGTCTTTTGCTAGTTTAATTCTTACAAAATGAGTGCATTTTTCACCACCTGTAGCTTTAAAACCTTGGTGACCTTATAACTTTTATTTCATTCTGAGAGGTTCACCTTTGACTGCCGATGATATCGATATCAGTATTACTGTTGTGCTGCTATTTGTCCTTTTTCTTGAATATTGTCGTAACATATTTATTTCAAATGACTAAGATCCTAAATGTGTTCCACTATCATTTTAGGAACTGTCAAACAATATTCATGTTTGATAATAGAATTCTATGAAAATTTATTTATTACCCTTTTCTTTGATTTTTCAGAACATCCAGTTGTCAATAATTCTGCAGGCTTTGTCAGTTTTGAAAAGCACGAAATACTTAAGGTAAAGGCTCTATAATCAATTGTATACTTTGCTGAAATGTTATCAATAAGTTTATGCATAGTTAAGGATGTACTTAGGTGAAATTAAAAAAATCAAGAATTTAAAATTGATACTATAAGTCGGAGGAGCATTAGTTAAGAAACAAAATAAGCTAAAAATTTTGATATGTTACGGAGCTCCTTTTCGAGATATTTGATTTTTAAAATATGGCGCGAAAAGGCTGACTCGGACTTTTACCTTATATTTGCATTGGTATTATTTGGGTCTCAAATCAAAAGAAAAGAAATCTAGAATCTGCTTAAATTTTGGTAAATGACCTTTTATGAGCTTTTATAAGTCTTATATGAAAAGATAAATGGGTGTTATGGGGCAAAATATTTAACCTTGTATTGTAGGGAAAAAAACCAAGGAGTCCAAACATCTAACACAAATTCCAAAACCTCACCTAAGTACATCCTTAAGATAGATCCCATAAAATATTATGCAAAATTTAGTTATAAAAGTGGAACAGACTGCATTTTATATATGGTCTTTATATAATACAAGCAAGACAATTATTGTATAAACGTATTTTACCAATTTATATGATAGGGAATGGAAATTGATTGACTTTGTCAGTTTTACAATTTGTGCCAAATTTCCCCCATTCTTCATACTGTTCACATTCTTGAGTTTGATTTCTATCTCTGAATTTGAAACAACTGATATCTCATAACATATTTGTTGACAGTATTTGAAATGGTACTACCTACTTGGAAGTATATGGATACTACAGTTTACGTTAGCTTGTGACAACATTGTAATATCTGGTGCTGTAAGTCATTGGTATTTTTCTAGGTAAGAATCATAATTTCCCTGTGTTTCATCGCAAATGACATTTAGAAGTATGTGCTCCCTTTTTCTAAAATATTTGACTTTATTTTATTTTTAAAACCCTCTACCTATAAAATAAATTGGAAAATAATTTTCTGATACATGAAAAATACAGGAACAGAAACGGGGAAGAAAAAACGAGGAAATAATTGACAGTAATTATCTCTTATAGATCTTTGTACTTTTCATGTTTAACGTGCCATTTTGATTAAAGACACATAAAGAAGTTTTAAAAATTACCGAAGTATGTGATTAAATTTTCTGTTTACTTCTTTTATTTAAATTTGAAAAGAGCTTTAAGTACTTCAATTAACATTTGATATGTATCAATAGGCCTTACCATTTGCACTTTTATTGCCCATCAAAATATGTGGGTACGGTTAAATGTACCAAGGTAGTGAGTGATATGTAAATTTATGCAAATGATGTTGAATTTCTTTTGCAGAGACAAGTCTCTAGTTCGTTGCCCAATAATCAGATCTTTAGGAATTTTATTACGGTAAGAAAAAATAATTACAATCAACACATACTTTCTTAATGAAAAAAAGGCCAATATGATGGATTTTGTTGGGTGTTATGAAATGTTAATGTTTATTTGTTGCCAAGCACAGTTTATAAGAATTCAGTCTACGACTAACTGTTAATCGTAAAAATAGTGCTTCAAATTAGGAAAAAGAACAACTCAGTATAACCTTTAATTAAAACAAAGGTTGAACATTAAAAATTATGATAAATTCATTAAAGAAATCTCCAAAAACATTAGTTATACTGTAAAAATTAGTTCACCAGTCGTGGTTTTTCATAATCGTAGTATTTTTTTCTAATTAGCAAATACAAAGAAGTACAAATACAAAGAAGTATATCGAACAACATTTCAAAACAATGTAAACAATTGTAATTAAAAACAGAACGGTGTATAATTGGTACAACATTTAGGAAATATCAAATATATTTGACATTTAACTTAATAAAAACGATGCAAAATTAATAAGACGGAATTAAGCATTTTACCAACCAGATGAATGAAACGTTTATTCATAAAAACACTTCCGATTAATTTAGATAACTTAGTTCAACTTCAACCAACCATACTTGAATATATTTTCTATAGTACTTACAACTGTATGCAGTTATCACATGTCCCTCTTTTATAGGTATCATCTTGGATCTGCAGCCCTTGGGTCCTTGATCATCACTATTGTATTTGCATTCAGAGTATTTGTCAATTTTATACATAACAGGTACTTCTCATTTATTGAACAATTTCTACATTACGCATGTGTTTTTATGTTTTGATTACTGGTATAAGTTGTGAGATAAACAAATCAAGCAACATTAATTATAATAATGAAACTGATGAGATCATTGTATCACAATCATTAATGTATGTTGTTTTGTTCACACATCGTTGTCAGTATAATGGAATTTTATGCGACTGACATACAAGTGAGAGGTTTAGCTAGCTATAAAACCCCGTTTAATCCACCATTTTCTACATAAGAAAATGCCTGTACCAAGTCAGGAATATGACAGTTGTTATCCATTCGTTTGATGTGTTTGAGCTTTTGATTTTGCCATTTGCTTAGAGACTTTCCGTTTAGAATTTTCCTCGGAGTTCGGTATTTTTGTTATTTTACTTTTTAAACTTTTAAAAAAGGAAAATAACTAAGGAAAACACATCGTATGCAAATGATTTTGCATGGTTGATTATGAACAAATAAAACAAGATTTTAAGTTTACACCAATGATACAGCAACCCTACGACACAAATAATTCCAGACAAATAAAACAAGATGTTGGGTTTACACCAATAATACAGCAGCCCTACGACACAAATACTATCCAGACATATAGTGGTCAACATGCAGAGTTGAACTATATATAGATGTCTGTACAATATAACAATTAGCTTTAAATCTTCTCTAGTTGGAAACGTTGTGTATGAATCAACAGAAACTATCAGAGATTATAAAATGCAAATCTGAGAATAAACAAAACAAAAAATAAAGTATTCTTTAAGAAAACAAGTAATAATACTTATTTTAATTGCGTTTGACACAAGTTTTGATTTTTGACTCTGCATCACATGGAAATTTAGTTCCATGTAAAATTGTGTATGATTTAAAGTAAGATAATTGATATGAAATTGTCGCAATTATTCCAAATGCACTCATTTCTGTTATTCAAATTTGTAGGTTAAAGAATAAAACCGGTTCTATTGTTGAATTCCTTTTAAAATGCTTTGGTTGCTGTCTGTGGTGCTTTGAAAAATTTATCAGCTTTTTAAATAGTAATGCATATGTTGAAATTGGTAAGTATAAATTCTTGATTGTTGTAGATTTATTGTTTGCATGTTTTTGTACGCTAGAGCAATATAAAGTAGAGTTAGTAGACAAATCTACAGAGGAATTGTTCAAGCAATGTTTCAAAATAGAGACAAAAAGAAATATTACAAATAAGTAAACATTATGTCATTGTATCCTATACAACATTGACTGTCAAACCACGTTATTCAAAAAAAAAATTTGAATGAATTACCACCATAATACTACAATAAATCTTAAAAAAAACCGGCAATCAAAAGTAATGAAAACCAATAAACAACATAAAAACAGGAAAATAAAGATTATTTAGTCTAGGTACGAAGAGACTGAGTGAACAAAGGAATAATCAGAAACCCAAATATAAAAACGTCACAAGATACAGTATGTTAGCATAATTGCAAGTACTGCATCTGACAAAAATTAAGAATATCTGTCACCAGAAAAAATCTATCAAAAAAATGAGTAAACAATTGAAAGTACCATAATAACTATTTTATCTCAGTTGTCAATAGATTTTAAAAAAATGTTAATTAAAAATGTTTCAATACCATATTATGATTATCTTTCAGCTATAACAGGTTATGGATTTTGTCATTCAGCTAGACGTGCATTTAAAATAGTCGTCGGAAATGCATTACGATTGGCAGCTATAAACTCTGTTGGAAGTTTTACACTTTTTCTAGGAAAACTTGCTCCGTTATCAGTTGTTATAGTGTTAGGATTGAAATTAGTAGCGGTAAGTTTGGACAAATTGATTTGTATCTAAAAATTATCCATCTCAACACTGGGCTGTGTAACACGTATACATAGTTTTGATTGATTGTTGTTTGATAATCTCAGTCTTATTCTACGGTTCAAATATTGCATTCATATGCAAGACAAGAACTGGAATATGAACTATCATGATAACATGAAGGGTATTATGAGTAAGGTAGGAACATTTTACTATCAAAAGACCATTCCAAAGATCTTGAAAGGATGTTGACGTATTGTAAGGATAAAACCCTCTTATCATATTAAATTTGGTTTTTTTTTTGGGTTTTCAACATTCCGACTGGATGAACCTTATGTTGATATCTCTTGTACAGCCACAGTAGTTCTCTTTTTTAACCTATCTTCATGCTGATAATACAGAAGGTGCTTAACAAAATATAACAATATACTGATATTAGAACTACCAATTTCCTTTGTTCCAAATCGATACTCCTAGTTTAGTTTATCGAGATATCGGTATCTTGAAAAGTGACTTCATTGTGCAGGATTAAACATTTTAGTTTCGCAGAGAGAAATTTAAAAGGGAAAAGATCTATGTTTAACCATTTCATGCATAAAATTATTTTTTCCATTTATGTCGATGTTATATAAATATACATCTATACTGAAAATAAAAAGATAATTGCACTACTTAATTGTGAACAAAAACGTTTCATTCGTAACAATTCTATTACGAATAATCATAAAAATAATTGCCCCTATAATATATATATTCGGTAATACTTGCTCCTTTTCAAATAAATATCACACTACATTATCTATATACTTGAATATCAATTACAATGTGAATTTGAACAATATAGTTTTTGCTTGAATCAATGACAAGCATTCGTGTTTAATATCGCCGTGATCTTTTCTATGTTATCTTTGGTATTGTAGAATCGAGGAGATATATTTTATCCGTGGTTTCCAATAACTATTTCATGCATTGCTGCGTTTATGATTGCAAGTTGTTTTATGGGTATATATGAGGTAAGTTCAACTATAACAAATAAGTTAAATCGTTAGACCCAGATCGACCTTTTGTCCTCAAATTGGAGTCCAATCTGTCATTGCAGTTTAAAATCAATGTCAAAACTTGTTATCGTCTTTTCGATGTCAAATTTGACGTCTTGTACTACCAGAACTAATTCATATCGGAAACTCCTCATCCCAGGCTAATGTTCCTGTTCTGGTGGAGATATTTTTCACCTTATTATTAATATACCACAATAGACTACAATACAATTCAAACTATCGTGAGCAAGTTTATGAAAAAGATCAGCAAAGGCATTGCATAATAATATTACAGCTACAACAAAACAAAAAGTACGAGGCAACGAAGACAATAGTCGATAACATATGTTTAACATCAATGAATTTGCAAACAGAAAACGTATTTCACATTGTTTTATTTCGATCATTTTCATAACGTTTTTTTCAGTTGTCGTTTTATTTTTCGTCATTGTATGCACCACAACGTTTCACTCCATTTTATGTTTTTTTGAGTTTTGTCACTTTTATAACGACTGTGGCCTTTTGATAGCTTGTATACTCTTTTACTTTTTCAAGTGTTCTTAATATTTATACAAAACAGTTCATGATTTGGAAATAATTGAACCAAAATCTCGGGATCTTTTCAAATACAACCCAAAATCGAAATCACAAAAAAAAAACCAGCAAGGTACAGACACATTGTCCTATCGAACGTAAATTAGAACAGCCTTTTAGTCCAGAGAGCCTTCTCTTTTGATTCATCCATTTTATTCAATTCTTTCAAACTAACTATTTATTATGAAAACCTTAAAACATCGGTATAATGAAACCAATAATAACAAAATAACCATAGAGATATTCTTCATCACGAACTGTATCATGGTCAATTTCTAGAGCTATTTTAGCAATTCAGGAAATGACTTCAAAGTGGCAATCAAACAATTGGAAGTTTTAATTAAAAGGAGGGGTTGGGCAAGAATCGGCTTCCGATTTAGAATCTTACTTTGTAATGACATTAAATTGGACTGCGATTTTAGTATCGAACGTCGTTTTAGTCCAAAATACTCTCTTAAGTTTTGTAGGAATTATTTAGAAGATAAAAAAAATACTGGTGTTGAATAATTTATTCAGTTATTAATTTGATGCGAAAACATCTGAAAAACTCTTTAACGAGTAACATCAATGCAAAATTTTTGTAAGATACTATTAAATTATTTTGGGCTTAGAGACAAAGTTAGATAAGCAGAACTTTCAGAGACAAATATATGAATGGAATGATCCAAAGATTTATTTCATATCTCAATTTGACAATGTTAAAGTTGTACTTAAAACAGTAAAGTATTTTAATACCATGCACATAGTATATCGATTATCTTTTTATATAATTGATTGACCTTAATGAACATAAACTATCCCATTATTTCAAATTTGATAAAAAAAAATATGTAACGAAGAGTGTGTAAGTAGAAATGTGAAATTTAACCTACTTAAAAATATTTATGAAAACATCTCCACAATTCATTGCAACTGGAATACTCATATAGTGCAGCATAGCTTAAAACCAGTATTTGTTATAGTCTTTTTTTTTTGTTAGTCAAATTACAACAGTTCATGTATTTTCAGCATGCTTTATCTTTAATTCCAGAAGTGTATTGATACAATATTTATATGTTTCTGTGAAGACCACGAACTTAATGATGGAGAACTAAAACCCTACTTTATGAGTTTAGGATTGATGGTAATAATGAAAAACGCAAAATAACAAAAATACCGAACTCCGAGGAATATTCTAAACGGAAAGTCCGTAAGAAAATGGCAAAATCAAAATCTCAAACACATCAAACGAATGGACAACAACTGTCACACCCCCGACTTGGTACAGGCATTGTCTTATGTAGAAAATGGTGGATTAAACCTGGTTTTATAGCTATCTAAACCTCTCACTTGTATGACAGTCGCACAAAATTCCATCATATTGACAACGAAGTGTGAACAAAACAAACAGACACAATAGGTAAAAATGTCAAAAATAGGGGTACATCAGTCAACATTGTGTTATAATCTTAATCACCACAAAAACAAGCAAGTATGTCAACAAAGAAAAACAAAAAGGCAAATAGACAAAGCACATTAGCAAAAACGAAAGACAATAATAACAAAATTTACCATAGCACAACAACAAAATGACGGGATGTACCGAGCCACGTCAAATGGATACTGCCAAAAATAGGCTAAACAGTAAAAGTAATAAATTACAAAGACAAATAAAAGAACACTATAACACGTTATTAAGATGATAAACAACGTCAGTACCTAGAATCTATACTTCAAGACCATCGTGTATTATTTGTGAAGTTGATACAGAATATTTATCAACAAGGTCTTGGTATCTTCCGATGAACTTTTTTTAGAAAAAGGACTAGACGTTGTTTGACGTACCCTTGGTTCATCAACTTTCTGCTCAGACACTGGTGACGTTTTACAAAGTCTGAGTAGCAACTGCAAGGTCTTGAATACCGAATGAGTTGGCAAATGTATATCCCATATGCTGGTGAAGTTGGTATTTTGCTACTAAGGTGGGGGAAATTGATAATTTCAAAATTAAAATCGTCTCGTTTGTCATAGATTATGTTACTGAGATGACCGCTTTTGTCAAATTCGAGGTATAAGTCTAAAAATGAGGCAGATGAAGCCGTATCTGTTGTTTCTTTAATTTTTAGTTCTGGAGGATATATTAATGGAACCCAATCAGAAAAGTTTGGATTAATAATGGAAAGAACATCATCCATATATCTGAATGTGAAATTAAACGATCTGGCTTCTTTGATCTTTGAAAACAATTACTGTGCCAATTACTGTGTTTATCTAATTACAATATTTTATGCGAACATTTAGGTTTTTTAGAGACTTCTTGTGTTTAGAGTAAATAAATATCTTTACATTAACGAAATAATATTAAAAGTGCAATATTTTACCAATTATGTTTAGAATTTAAAAAGTTTAATAAAACATTTCATGAATTATTTCTAAAATACAGAGTACCTGAAGTGACATTTCTAACTTAATGAAAGTCAAAATATCCTTTCTTTTTCTTTTTTCAGAAGTATGTAAAGAGTCAATCAAGTAATAATGTGGAACATATTGCGCATATTTAGTCCATTCGGTTAGCTGTACCAAAGATGTTCAAGAAAATCTCATGCTTATCCAAAGCAACCTCTCGTTTGATATAACGGCGAACATATGCATAAAGCAAAATAAAAGATAATATATTTTGATGATATGTATTAGTTTTATTTCATTGATATAAGAAAAGACGTATTCAATATTTCACAAGATTACGGAAGACCCTGCATTTTTTATCGTATTAAAATAAAGTTGTATTTTTTATTAAATGATTAGGTCGTTTTAAAAGATGGGACCTAAATTGCTTTAGAAATAAAGTCATTAGGGACCAGCTGAAGCCCGCCTCCGGGTGCGGGATTTTCTCGCTGTGCTGAAGACACATTGGTGGCCTTGGGTTGTTTTCTGCTCTTTGGTCGGGTTGTTGTCTCTTTGATGCATTCCCCGTTTCGATTCTCAATTTTATTAATTACCTCTGAGACCTTTATTTAAAACATGTTTATAATAAGAGGTTCCAATACAAAAAGGGGTTGCAGGTAATTGATTGTGCTTACATGTATACTGAATGAAGCCTAACTGATCATTCCCTTTCACCGAATGTAAAAATAAGGAGATGTGGTATGATTGCCAATGAAACAACTATCCAACAAAGTTCAAATAAAGTAGATGTTAGCTGTTACATGCAACAGTCCGGCCTTCAATAATGAGAAAAAACCATACCGTATAGTCGGCTATAAAAGACCCCGGCATGAAAAATATGAAACTATTCAATTGAGAAAACTAACAGCCTTATTTATAATAAAACAATTTAAGAAAAACAAATATGACAGACACTAACCAACGACAACCACTGAACCACAGGCTACTGATTTGGGACAGGCACATTAAGAATGTGGCGGGGTTAAGCATGTTTGTAAAAAGGACACTAATTAGAAATAAGAAGATGTGGTATGAGTGCCAATGAGACAACTCTCCATCCAAGTCACAATGTGTAAAAAGTAAACAATTATAGGTCAAAGAACGGCCTTCAACACGGAGCCTTGGCTCACAAAGAACAGCAAGCTATAAAGGGCCCCAAAATGACTAGTGTAAAACAATACAAACAGGAAAACCAACGGTCTAATCTATATAGAAAACGAGAAACACTTATGAACCACATCAACAAACGACAAAAGAACAGATCTGAGAGTACTCGCAACTGACAGCTAGTTCAAAGCCAATAACAACTAATGAACAAATCATGAATCTTAGACTGAAATATCCATCAGTACACATCCAACATCCAATGGATTTAGTGTAAAGACGTCATTAACGGCAAGAGAAAAATATGACATTGTGCAATACCAAAATAAAAGTATAGACAGATTGTAATACCGTTAAAGTGCATATGTGTATAACAAAATTGTTTAGTATGATTTTAATTTACTGATAACAAAATCAATATTTATACCAAATAAAAAAGCAATATTCAAAGATCTAATTACAGTGATGAATTGGTAATCGTTTAAAATAAGTTCATTTGGATCACCCGGATCGTATATAAATTTTCTGGCTCGGTAAACAACATCACCGTGAAATTTAGGATGTGCTATTCCGTCTGAAATAAGTTTTTTTACAGGTACAGCCAAACTTGCAAACCAAATCTTTGTATCTATGGAAGAATTTAGTAATGAAAATGTTCCTTGTACTATGAGTTTTGTAAACTTTCTTAACTTTTAAAAGCATACCCGATGAAGTTTATTTAGAAACAAAACGTGTTATAGTATTTATAGAAGTAATGATTACATTTTTCTAACAGAAGGAACATTAAATAAGGAAAATATTTCATTTTCACATTCAACAAATTTTCTTCTACAATTGTCAGTTTCTTAACCAGTTGATGAAGCTAGAATAGTAAAGTACTCGAGAATAAGTTTCTCAAGAATTGTACACGATTGTTTTAACTTGATAACACTTTGAGGAAAAAGCCATGTATGAACCGGTAATCTGACAAGTTGAAGACTTTTGCAATGTTTGATAAATTGCACTGCCGAAACGTAAAAATGTATCTATTAATGATTTTAAAATGAGATAAACGTCTCACATAAACACTCGAATTTAATGTTAGACAATTAAATGACGATGAACTCCTAATATTCTTATGATAAGATTAAATGATATTTGTCCTAAATTGAGACAAGTCTGCTGATAAAAGTCGAGACAGCTATGGTCCTATCAACAAACACGGCTTCCTCTGCCTTATTTTAGACTTATATCTCGAATTTAACATAAGCAGTCATCTAAGTACCAGAATCTATGACAAACGAGACGATTTTAATTTTGAAATTATCAATTTCCCCCATCTTAGTAGCAATATAACAACTTAAAAATTTTGCACATTTAATATTATTTCGTTAATGTAAAGACATTTATTTACTCTAAACACAAGAAGTCTCTGAAAAACCTAAATGTTCGCATAAAATATTGTAATTAGATAAACACAGTAATTGTTTTCAAAGATCAAAGAAGCCAGATCATTTAATTTCACATTCAGATATATGGATGATGTTCTTTCCATTATTAATCCAAATTTTTCTGATTGGGTTCCATTAATATATCCTCCAGAATTAGAAATTAAAGAAACAACAGATATGGCTTCCTCTGCCTCATTTTTAGACTTATACCTTGAATTTGACATAAGCGGTCATCTCAGTAACATAATCTATGTCAAACGAGACGATTTTAATTTTGAAATTATCAATTTCCCCCACCTTAGTAGCAATATACCAACTTCACCTGCATATGGGATATACATTTCCCAACTCATTCGGTATTCAAGAGTTTGCATATGCTACTCAGACTTTATAAAACGTCACTATTGTCTGAGCAAAAAGTTGATGAACCAGGGTTATGTCAAAGAACGTCTCATCCCTTTTTTCTAAAAAAGTTCATCGGAAGATACCAAGACCTTGTTGACAAATATTCCGTATGAACTTCACAAATAATACACGATGGTCTTGAAGTAAAGATTCTAGGTACTGACGTTGTTTATCATCTTAATTACGTGTTATAGTGTTTTCTTTCATTTGTCTTTGTAAAATATTACTTTTACTGTTAGTCAATTTTTGGTAATATCCATTTGACGTGCCTCGGTACTTATACATCCCGTCATTGTGTTATTGTGCTATGGTAAATATTTGTTTTCTTGTCTCTTGTTTTTGCTTATGTGCTTTATCTATATGCCTTTTTGTTTGTCTTTGTTGACATATTTGTTTGTTTTTATAGTGATTAAGATTATAACACAATGTTGCCTGCTGTACCCCTATTTTTGACATTTTTACCTTTTATGTCTGTTTGTTTTGTTCACACATCGTTGTCAATGTAATGGAATTGTTAAGCAACTGTCATACAAGTGAGAGGTTTAGCTAGCTATAAAACCAGGTTCAATCCACCATTTTCTATATCAGAAAATGCCTGTACCAAGTCAGGAATATGACAGTTGTTATCCATTCGTTTGATGTGTTTGAGCTTTTTAAAATCAAAAGACTGATGATTACAAAAGTACTATTCGAACATAATCTTTGATATCTTTGATGAGGTTTTTTGCAACCACTGGGTTGATGCCACTACTGGGGGAGATTTCCTTCCAGAGGGTATCACCAGCCAAGTAGTCATCATTTCGATGTTGACATGAGTTATCATTGATTTTGGATGCTCAATGCTCTGCAACTTCGTACTTTATTTTGCCTTTTAATATTTTATATTCGAGGTTCTCTGATGAGTGTTTTGAAGACGAAACGTGCGTCTGGTGTAAAAAAATTCAAGCCTTGTATCGTTGATGAGTTTTTTCCCAAACCAATACATAATATTTGTTAGTTTACGGAGAGAATGGATATTTTCTCATCTGCTGGTTTTTAAAAGACACTTTCTCCAGCCATACACTCGTATAAAAAAAGGTAAAAGAAAAAAAAGAAAAAAACCAAACTCCAAGGAAAATTCAAAACGGGAATTCCCTCAACAAGTGGCAAAATCAAAAGCTCAAACGCATCAAAAGAATGGAACACAACTGTCATATTCCTGACCTGGTACAGGCATTTTCTTATGTAGAAAAAGCGTCACTGATGAGTCTTTTGTAGACGAAACGCGCGTCTGGCGCAAATACAAAACTTCAATAATGGTATCTATGATGAGTTTATTTAAACCTTGTTTTATAGCTAGCCAAACCTCTCACTTGTATGATAGTCGCATACAAGTCTATTATATTGTGAGCAATATAAACAGACACAATAGGTAAAAATGTCAAAAAATTGGGGTTCAGCAGTCAACATAGTGTTATAATCTTTATCACTATATCAACAAACAATTGTGTCAAAAAAGAAAAACAAAATGTTATAAAGACACTCTATAAACATAAGCATAAATGAAAGACAAAAATACAAAAAATGACTATAAAACAATAACAAGATGTATAAATACCGCGCCACGCCAAAAGAATATTACCAAAAATTGACTAAACAGTAAAGATTAGAAATAAAAATAAACAAATAAAAACACACGGAATATAGATCAACAAGGTCTTGGTATCTTCCAATGATCATTTTTAGAAAAAGGACAAGACGTTTTTTGCCATAAACCTGGTTCATCAAATTTCTGCTTAGACACTGGTGACGTTTTATAAAGTCTGAGTAGCAAATGCAAGCTCTTGAATACCGAGTGAGTTGGGAAATGTATATCCCATATGCAGGTGAAGTTTGTATATTGCTGCTAAGGTTGAGAAATTATATAGAATAAAAATTAAATCTTCTTGTTAGTCTTAGATTCTGGTACTGAGATGACCACTAATGTCAAATTCGAGGTGTAAGTCTAAAAATGAGGCGAAAGTAGCCGTGTCTGTTATTTTTTATATTTCTAGTTCTGGAGGATATATTAATGGAACCCAATCAGGAAAGAACATCATCAATGTATCTGACCGTGAAATTATATGATCTGGCTTCTTTGATCTTCTTGTTTTTGACAAGTGTCTGAAAGAACTCCGACTCATATGAAAAGGAGAGGCGAACAGTTCGTTCCCATAGGAATGCCGACAATAACATTCTGTTAAGGAACATGACAGTTGTTTTCCATTCGTTTGATGTGATTGAGCGTTTGATTTTGCCATTGATAAGGGAAAAGTAAAATAACAAAAATACCGAATCCGAGAAAAATTTTAAACGGAAAGTCCCTGAGCAAATGGCAAAATCAAAAG